ACTTCTCCCATAAAAAAACATACGGGTCGAATTGAGAACCTCCTCCTTTTTTGAAGTCGGTTGAAAATACGTTTGTTCATTACAATTTATTGAAGTTCAAAGTTGACACCTGCTTAATTTAACCTCTTACCTACGGGAGGCACCTATAGTTGCCAAGTCAAAAGTCACTTCTCAATACGGGTGGCATCTATTGTAATTTTGGCAAAGCCAATACTAAATCACGGTTTACGAAAAAAAAAACAATAAAATTGCAAATTAAGTGTAAAATGCGCTTGTGATTATGAAACTACATTAGTTGCAGAATATAATATTCCAAATTTCAGTGCCGTAAGTCTCATAAATTTTAAAATATCTTGATGTTAAGTGGAGCAAACAATTTTATAGGTTAAAATACCCCGTATTGAGAGGCGACTTTGGTTTCCAAGGGCTCGTAGGTAAAGGGTTAAATAGGTGACAATAAAACACGCTAAGTGTGATTAAACATAAAAATGTATCACTGTTTTTAGACTGAGTTGCACTACTTTTCTTAAATTTAACCGTCACTATTACAATAACTGGTGCTTTTTGTATGGAGTTTGACAGATTTTTGAAGTTTGTCAAAGTTAAAGTGATGGTGCAACCGAGCCTTAGTATTTTGGTACCTAATGTTAAAAAAGTTAATGAAATTTAGCATGTAGAATGCAATTTAACATATTTTCGTCTTAACCAAATACCGACCCTTCCTGGACAAAAATATATTACTGTGTCTATATCCCAATGATTTCCACTATTAATGTTAGTTCCTGCGCTTTTCGCATCCAAATATTTACATAAATATAAAACACATTAAAATAATGAACTTAAAATTGTAACTGGACCAAGTGTATTTATGTTTACATCAGTACGTATTTGGTCATAACAAAAACATGACTAAGGCACAATATCATGCATGGAATGGTTTCAATGTTCGTTCTTAGTCCGGTTCACATCAAACAATAGTCAAATTTACTTCACCGTGAAAATGTAGCTGATTATTCAAAGATTTGTGCTTTTACCCCAGTGTAACTTTATATGGATCGGAAGGTGAATGAAGAAAACATAGAACAGCCTTTTGTTTTGGTAAATCCAGGTAAAAAAATAATAAAAAAATATAAGACAGGGAAAATCTAGATTAAAGTANCGCCAAGAATAATAATGCACGTATCATTAACACGTATTAACGTGAGGTGAATTGGTAAGACAACGTAATAATTGCACGACACTATTGACTTGATTGATACAATGTTAACAAGACAGTTCACGACCGATCGAGAGCTCGCGCGCGCGCAACTGACCGGACCGACCGCGGCCGTCGGCCGGGCGAGCGAGAGAGCGGCGCGGGGCCGCGGGCACTCGCCCGATAATGGCCGCACAACAAACGTACACCGCCGCCTTTAGGAAGCGTCGGGCCGGCAACGTCGCATCTCTCTCCATAGTAACGGGCCTTGCGTTGAGCGTAAATAGTGCTAGCGACGCGTGTGTCCAAATTAGAGGTGGGCGCCGATATACAATTGGCCGGCGGCGGCGCGCCGACTTTTTGACCTCGGCGGCGGCGGCGTCGGCGGCGTGACCTTGTTTGACCTTTGTTCATTAGGTTTTTTTTTAAATCTACTTTTTTAGTATCTGTCGTCAAGACTAATCAGGTGATTTGCAGTTGGTTGGGGTTTGAGCCACTGGAGCAGTGGTTTACCCTAGTAAATTAGCTCTCTTGATCATAGATACTTTGATATTTGGATAGCGGGTTTGGCTGAGATCAGGTTCTCGTGTATTTCCTAAAGGCGAGCGTACCAATGTGTTGATAAAAGTACCCTTAACATGTATATTTGAGCTCTTTGGAGGCACATAGTTAATGTTGGATTTGCTGACTTTCGGTCGAACATTCTGTTCAGATCTGTTTAATTTATATTTATGGTCTTTCCATGTCATCCTACGGTCCAGGATTTTAATGCAGGTTGATTGCAGCAATGTGTAGAGGTCTAAATTGTCCGGAGGATAAGTTTCACGTCTTAAATGATAATATGGTGAAACTTCGGGGCTTAATTACACGCGCCACTTGATCAGCCAAGCAGCTGACTTTGCAACAGTCTAGTCGCTTTAAGATCACAGTTACATTTTAGGAAGGCCGCAGCTTTCTGGTGTTTGGGCTACTTTACTAGTAGATGTTATAGAGTATCGGACCAAGTACAGAGTCCAGGGGTACTCCAGCTCTGCAGCTAAAAAGAAGAATTTGTCACCGAGTTTGATTTAAAATTGTCTGTCACTGAGACAAGAATCCATCAGCAGGTAGTGGAAGTGGGCTGGAAGGTACTTTTTAATTTCATAGAGTAGTCCTTTATGATAAACCCAGCTGAAGCCGTAGCGAAAGCAGACGTGCAGGATTCTTTCTTTTCCAAACATTGTACTGATTATGGTTGGTATGGTTTCTGCCAAAATTTATGGTCGGGTACACTATATTACATGGGTCATACTTAAGCAAGGGAATAAACGTGCAAGAATGATCCTTTTCCATAATTTTAACAATCCAAATGGCAGATTAATTGAGCGATAGGAGAATTCGTTAAGCGATTTGCCAGCATTATGGATCATTTCCAAAGTTAAGAGACTTGCGAGATTCTCACTCAGTGTGGTCATTGTCAAGACCATGGACTTCATGGTGATCAGATCAAATGCAAGTGCTTTACGAGGGTCCATTTTGGCTATTTCTTTAGCTTAGCTCTCTTAGCGTTAGTTATTTCGTTTCAGCCGAAAGACGTCCTGCGCCGCTCGCATTCAGGCTCTTCCTGCGATCCTCCCCAAATCGTCGGTTCACCTAGTGGGAGGCCTGCCCACGCTACGTCTTCCGGCTCGTGGTCGACACTCAAGAACTTTACTGCCCCAGCGGCCATCAGCTCTATGAGATATGTGCCCCGCCCATTGCCACTTGATTCTTTCGTCCTCACTTAGCGTAGTAGGAATCAATCTTCTACTTTTTTTAACTTAATGAGGGTAAGCGGAAACATGGCGGTCAACTCCTCAGATAGTCAGGTACAAAGATGTCCAGAAGCAGCATACGAAAATATGCAAAATGGACCCTCTCAAATCACAATGGGAAGGTTTGGCAGCACAGCGCCTAGAATGGCGGGAGATTGTGTAGAGGCGAGTCCGCGAGTTCAAGGAGCAGCAGACAACTGAACTCGACGCGAAACGCGATCATGTAAATCCCGTCCATCTGCCACCATTCACTTTAATTATGTTGGCGGCGGGCTTAGATACTCTCAATGTGCGAAGAGGCGAAGATCAGCTATGTAAGCCATCTTCGGGCGCACCAGCGCCTCTAAGACCGCGAGGTCGAAGTGGTCACTATGACCGAAATCGGTCGGATGAATCATCATCATCAATAGGAATCAAAGGCAGGCATAGCTGCAAGTCTCGGATCAAGTCCAATGCTTGATCTTATTTAATAAACTAGCTGAACGGATTGACTTGTTTCATTGTACTCTGGGTGAATTCACAAAGATGACGCTTTTTAATTTATGTTATTCTTAGGTTTATTTGTATAATTTTCATTTAATTTACTTATATTACTATTGTTACGTTCCTGTCATATTTCGCTTGTCTATTGTATTGGATTTCTGTAAAAATAGGCTTAAGCTTGGAAATAAATAAATTTTTGGATTGAATAGGGATGTTTCCTGGGTCAAAAAGCAAGAGTTTTAATTAGTCCGTCAGTTAACTTATCAAAAAATACTCTACACGTATTTTTCACTTTTTCAAACTAATGAAAATTTAAAGAGATAAAGCGCGCCAAAGTTCATAAGAAGAGGCCCGTGAAGTCAATGCGTGCATAAAAGTGCCGCACGTTGTGACGTCGTGCGGAACTTCAACGCACCATAACTATGTAATTATTTGTTAGATTGACAAATAAAAATATATGTGTCCAATATTTTTTTATAGTAAACATGACGGACTAAAAAAATTTTTTTAGGAAAGTAGCCTATTGTGGATTTTTTGGATTATCCGTGTTAATGGGTTTAAATAAACCGGCTTGTCATGTAGCAAAGGTCTGAGATTTTTCTTGTCAGTTCGCACTCATGTAATACCGGACCTAATGAGCGGAGAACACTTTGAGGGAGGTACTTTGTTGCCTTCCAGAGGTTGTGGTTCCCATTTGCATTCCGAGACATATTTGCCAAACTCTGTGTGAGTGATTCGCTTAAAGTATAGTTCAATAGTGTTAGTTGTCTGCCAGACGAAGGCGGGGATTTTTTTTCTTGACAGCAAGAGGGACCGGCGCCTCTCGCGATCAATTATTTACTAGACCAAGCAGCAACTTGAATAATGTACTTAATTAACTGTTAATATAGTTAGTATTAAGTTATATTCAATTATTTTATTAGTATATCAAGGGCATGAAGTTCGCCTTGTGTACCAATTTATATGGCATTAAAGAATAAATATTATAGTTAGTTCTTCTGCGTTCAAAACACAAATTAGTACAGTATAGGAGAGGAATAAATTGCAAATAGTTGGTACAGTATCAGTATCGGCGCGCCGACAGCTGGTCGTCGGCGGCGGCGGCGTGAAAAAATTCGCGGCGGCGGCGGCGCGCCGGCGTGGCGCCCACCTCTAAGTCCAAATATTACCAATTTTGGGATGAAATTTTGAGTAGCTTTATTTTACTTTTTTTTTGCATAAATAGGATCAGTATCAATAACTCATTACCCAGAATTTTTTTTTCGGTGATAAAAATGTAGTGGTGTATAAAACTCAAAGGTGACTGACATAGTGATCTATCAACGCACAGCCCAAACCACTGGACGGATTGGGCTGAAATTTGGCATGCAGGTAGAATGTTATGACGTAGGCATCCGCTAAGAAAGGATTTTACGAAACTCCACCCCTAAGGGGGTAAAACGGGATCCACGCGTACGAAGCCGCGGGCGGAAAGCTAGTTTGTAATAAGAGTGAGTATAGTACAATCAGAAGTAAAACTGCAGTATGTACTAACCTGATTCTGTGTGCGTGCTCTGGATATGTCGCACCCACTCGCCGGGGTTGGGGAAGTGTTTCTGGCAGAGGTCGCAGCGAAGTAATGCCATTGTCTCTTCGGTGTCATCGCTCTGGAAGATTAGAAGACGTTAGCTACTAGTCTTGAATGTCTTGGAAAAGGTATTGGTGGGATTAGTAGGATAGTGTTCTTAGGAAGAATCTTCTTCTTTTTGGTTGATTCCAAGTTCTTCTTTTATTAATGGCGATGAATTTGTGTATTTTCGCCACAGGGCACACTGTTCTGCTAATATCACGTGCGCAGCTTTTACACAATGTAGGTCTTTTGAGAAATTTGTATTTAAAGGTAATCTGAGCAAAATACCTAAAACAAAAGACATCATATAGGAAGAAGCTGTTCAATCGGAAAAGAACAGTCAGAGAAGAATTGTCTATTCGGACAAGAGCTGTTGAGGAGGGCTATTCAATCAAATAAGAGCTGTTTAATCGGACAGCAACTGTCAGGGAGGAGCTGTTAATCGGAAAAGAGCTCTCAGAGACTAGCTGATCAATCCTGTAGTGTTGCTGTTAAACGTAACAGAAGATTATACAATCAGGCAGGAGATTTTCCAAATATGCAGGAAGGTTGAGGAGTCGTATAGTAAGACAGGGAGCTGTGGGATCGAAAAATTGTTGCATACTTCTTCTTCTTGTAGCGTCGACAACAAACATTATACAGTGTCAGCCCAAAACTCCGCTACAAGTGTGGCGTTGTCAGTAGCCTTCATTATGGCTGGGTTGCACCATCTTACTTTAACTTTGACAAACGTCAAAAATCTGTCAAACTCCATAAAAAAAGCACCGGTTATCATTATAGTTACGGTCATAGTTAGGTGGTGCAACTCAGCCTAAATTTTCTTCTAATTAAATAATATAGCATACTCATCATCACGCATCTCTTCAGTCTGCCCGCGACCATGACTCGTGCAACCGAGCCGAAACGTCGGGAGGGTAAATATTTTATTTACCGTTAAAATAGATATTGATAAATCCCGTGAATCAAATCAAATTTCTTTATTTGCGTGATTCTTTATTAGATTTATTTTATAGCATACTGACCGGCGAGCGGTGCTTGCGCTTGCGCGAGTGCGGCTCGCTGGAGCGCGCGTGCGCCTGCACGTGGCGCACCCACGCGGCCGGCACCGTGAACACCTCCGCGCACAGCTCGCACGCCAGCGGGCTGTAGATCTGCAAGCACATTGTTTTAACGCACTCACGTAACGCTCACTTAGGTCGAAAAAAAAAATTACTTCATCAAAATAAAACAGCCATTATCATCAGGTAATTTAGTTTCTGATCTCTACCAGAAGCAAATAGATGGCTTGGCCTACACTACCCATGCTGGTTGAGTGTTGGAGTGGATTGATTTTCGCGTATTTTGTTCCTTAGTCGCCTTTGTAGTGAAGAGTAGGGGTGGTCATATACGACTCTGCTGAACTTTGCAAAAAATACCTCTCATTGCAAGGAATGTGCACCTGTCTATGTCAGTATTCCTAAAATATTATAGTCTTCAGGGCACAAATTGCAGTCAAGAGCAAGTAATAAATCCATCTACCACCTTAATAAGAACCCTGGAAAGGGCCTATGTACTATTTGAATTTGAACTTACCAAGCTCTCTTCCTCAATGTCCATTTCCTCAACGGGTTCAGTCTTGACGCTCATCTCTGCCTGGAACATCTCGGCGATGGAGCGTTCTTCCTCCTCTATGCTGCTGGCGTCCCAGTCTGGCTCGTCTTTGATTTGCACCTCCGTTGTTGTTTCTATGGTGCTTTGAGATGATTTTTCTGCAGAAAAAATATTTTTATATGTCAATCCACATTTATATTATGCTGATAAAACTAAAGATTTAAAGTTCAGGAGCGAAACACAAAGGACAATGTTCATTTCTGGCCTGGCATGGACAAGCTGCTAATGAAAATATGAATTTGCCAAAATTTTTTAATTAATTTTTAAAGTATTCACTTAGTGTAACTTTGTATCAATTTGCCTTTATAAAAATCCAATTTAAATAGTACTTTATGTGATAATTACAACTTCCTGTCTTTAACACTCAATTCAGTGTTGCCAAAATGAATCTTATCGGTAAGAATCGATTCATATCGATTGTTTTTCGACTATGACAATTAGTATTTTTTTAAATACGTATTCATTAAAATGACATTTAAAAAACCTTTTTAATATTCCAATAACACTACCAAAAATATTTAAATAACTAAATGAAACCTTATTTCACACACACCTTATTATACTCCTTATTTCGAGTCATGAAAAAATACAATCGATTTTTATATCGATTATTTTTATTCATCACCACATTATTAGCATGGCAACACTGAAAATATTGTCACAGCTGTAATCTGTCATTCGCTTTGTTTTGTATTTTTCATCGTGTGTTGTTTAGTTCTCAAAACCAAGTCTTTGCCAAAATAAAAGCAGAAGAGTGTTGTAATAAGTTTCCCTTTTGACGACTTTATTTTTTTGACCATGGTCCTCGATGCTTCCCTTCCCGATGGCNTCACATCTCAATATCTTAAAGAATGAATTTTGAATGATACCATAATTAATTTCTTTGTTTCAGCTGCGGGGATCTGACCAAATATGTCATCCCTGATGGCAGTGAGCTGATCGAGCTGCTACATATGCTGTGGAGCCCCAACAAACACATGATGGGACGAGGATTCATTTGCCCTTATATTGGCCGAATAACAGTAGGTCGCTGTGCTCATGTTATGACAATTTAGTGGTTTTTGAGCTGGGCAAGGTATCAGGAACATGTATTTCCACCTGCCTAGTTCCTAGACAATATTTTATTGACCCATGAGTCAGATTAAAATAATAATAATAAAAAAAATGGTGTTTTATTTTGCTTCTGACCTTTCTAGTCTTAGCCAAAAAAAATTTTTTTAAGGACTTGGATACAAAATGATATTTATATTCTGTTTCTTACTGGTATAGACTATTTAATAAATAACAAATTACATGCTGTAATGTCTGTCCACCTCAGGCCAAAGGTCCCATACTAAGTGGGCATAACCCTTTTTATTCGAATATAATCATATTTTTTTTGGCTAGTTGGATCAAAGTTTGACTGGAAGAGAATGCCAAAATATGGCTTCAGGTTCGCTTTTTGTACTATGATATTGTGGGCATTAAGTAGAGATGAAACGGATAGTTGTTTGGCCGGATACCGGATACCGGATATCCGGCCAGCTGGTAGGCCGGATAGCCGGATATCCGGCGGCCGGATAGTTGGCCCATTGTCTCGTTTCATGTCGTGACGAGTTTAGCGCCGCACAGGTGCTTCGAACGCGATCAGTGGGTCTATTTTAGTAGACTAGTCACACTTTTCGAAAATCGAATCCGTCCGAGTAGAATGTCAGATTTTGCCACTTGTCTAGGGGGCAGATCAATTCGGGCGATTTCGGTTGCTATCGTGAGTGTGTGGTTGAATAGCGAACTACTAATAATAATAAGAATAACGCATGCATCATGTCATCAGACCATCAGTGAAAAAAAGATCGCCTTGGCAATATTTCGACAAACAGATATTTACTTATTTATGTATTCGTCATTAGAGTGAATACTGAATAGTCCAGAAAAAGAAATTAGTTTTTTGAAAGGCCTTAATATGGCTTTTTTGTAACTTTTTGGACTTTAAATAAAAGCCGTCATTATTATAAGCCATTTTATTGATATTTACCTCAAAGATTAATGTATTTCATTTTATTAATAGGAAATTGTCGTAGTTTTTTAATATCCGGTATCAGGCCGGATAGTGAGCTACTATCCGGTATCCGGCCGGATAGTAAATTTAGGCCGGATATCCGGCCTACCGGATAGTTACCGGATATCCGTTTCATCTCTAGCATTAAGACTTTAAATAAATACAGAAATACACAAGTAACAATATTTACTTAAAAAACGTTCAAAAACTAAATGATATTCAATACTCACTTGACGATACCGAAACATTGTCCTGAGCGTCCTCCTCCTTGGCTTCCTCGTTGTCCGTATTGCTTGCAGTCTTTTGTTTCTTCCCATATTTCCGTTCCGCTACATGCCTTCTTAATATCCTCGGCGGAGGCGCTTCATCGGGGGAGTCATCAGCTATAGTTGTGGTCGCTACAGTCATAGTGGCTGGTGTGGTGGTAGCCGTGACAGTGGTCAGTGTGGACACGTCAGAAGACGACGTAGGAGCCGGTGCCACTAGTATAGTCTGGCCTTTGGGTCCGCCGGGACGTAATGTCGCTTGGGTGCCGCCTTCGGTTGTTTTGATAAATACCAGCTTAGGCGGGCCGATGAACATGGGCCTGTGTGAAATATTTTTTCTGAATGAGCAAAAACAGTTAAACAAAAAAATTTTTCTAACTTCAGATAAATTACTAAAATCTCTTCCCCAATTTCCTCAAATAAATATTAAATGGTAAATCAAACAGGAATCAAAAATAATAATTTCTTGTAACAAAAAAAAAGTATCTATGTTTGGCCCAGATGGCCTGTTATTTTTAATGTTTATTATTTTTATTGGTTCAATCAATGGTTCAATGAAGTTCTTGTAGATGCTGTGTGGACCAATTTTACAACAATACCAACATTAAACGACAAAAATAAATTACAAAACTGGAAACCGGAATTATAATCATTGAATAGTCATTAAACTTACCTAGTACCACCCTGATTCTGTAGAGGAGTGAAGGTCTTGAGCAGCTTGTCATCCCTCTTCACCGTAATCTTCGGCTGCAACTCGTCTGCTTTCTTAGCGACTGCTGGTTTATTCGCAGAGGCCATGCTGGTCGGAGTGGCCGTCCTCTCAGCGGGGGCTGTGGTCCTCTCTGCAGGGGTAGAGTCCCCGCCCGCCTCGTCCGTCTGCCTCCATAGGCCTCGGATCTTTAACACCTCGCCCGCTTTAAGTACAGTGTCTAAAACTTCATTCGATACGGTTGTTTCACCTATAACAATGAAATACATTATTAATTATTTAGGCAAATCTATTATTTTTAATGACTATAAAGTACCATAAAGTGGGCGTGATCCTCATTAATGAGGGACTGAGGAAGAATAAGAATATAAAGTACCTACTTGACCTAAAACTGTATTGCAGCAATTTGGAATTTGTCTGTTCATTCATAAAGATGACATGTTTTGTTAGTTTTTCAAGTTTAAACAAACAATTTTAAAAGACAATAAGTAACACATTAACGGCAATTGTAACACAGTACTTTCTAATTAGAAATCTTAAAACACTGACCTTTATACATGTATTCCACGAGAATCTTCAGCGCTTTCGTAGATATCTCCGAAGGGAGCACCACGTACAGCATGCCGCCCATCCGGGTCACTGCGCGCTGGCCCTCGAACAGCGAGCTCAAATACACACTGCACGAGCTCAGGATGAACTTGTGCGCCGGGATCTGAGACCCATCCATGGTGCACAGCACCACATCCGTAAACCGCTCCGAGCGCAGCAAAGACGCCACGGAGCCGTTCAGGTGCGAGCTGTGCGAGTGCCATTTCAACTGGTACGTGTCCGTCGACGTCATTCTTCCCGCATCATCGTTCACCACTCATTTCTAAATCAAAAACAAACTTTATAACCTCCATCTTCAAACACCGACATGTTTACAAAAGAAGCGTCACTGATTCACCACTTTCTCACTTCACGAAATCACTAATGCTCTATCTCTTTCTAATTGGTTAAAATTTCTAAAGTTAGAGCGAGTCCGCGTACTCACAAAATGTCCGCGACATACGAGTGAGAACAAATGGTATGAATGAAAAAAAAATACGGAAATAGAAAATTATTTCGGAAAAAAGGAAACGGAAATAGTATTGAAATTGGTACAATAAATGCACAATGCAACAGGAAATTAACGATTGAAATACTTTTTTAATTGAAAAAAGAATTCAATAATAATAAAACATTACCTTGAAAAAGCGCGACTTATAAAATGCGATAAAAATGTTTTCCGTGATCTTCCCATACTTTCAAATGGTCATTATTTATCAAATTACTAAGCAAATAAAATATAGAAGTAATACGCGCAACCACCGCGTGCGACCCTCCAGCCGGGTGTGCGGCGGCTGCGGCTGCGAAAATCGATGGAATTCGTATTGATTTAACTCGAAAAGCGGGGTTGCGCGTTTATCAGATCGATCCACGCCGGAGAGCGTCGGCTCGCGGCGCGCGTGCGTCGAGGGGCGCTCGGCCCGGCGGCGCCCGCCCTGCACCAACGCCACCCTGTTCACGCGCAAATACCGAGAGCCCGTCTCACAAAGCTAGCTCTATACATACCTACTTCGTAGGCTAGGTACATGACGAGCGTAGGCAGCAGCAGGCAGCATTTCAGTGACGCAATAAATAAGTAGTTCTATTAACATTTGAAACCACGCCTACGCAGCTTTGTTGCGTCATTTTTGTATGAAATCATTTAAAATTATCTATTTTACCTAGATTACCTAGTCGGGCTAATTTTGTAACCCACTCAAAAACTTAAAAAAAAGGAGGTAGCACTGGAGTTCACAAGTTTTACGAGTAGCGACCTAAGTAGTTTAATTAGGTAATAATTATTACAATCCAATTCTGTGATTTCAATCATCATAATATTCATCATTTGAGTGTTTGTTTTGTTAATTAAAGTTGTTTTATGTAAAGTACCTACCTACGATTCGGTAAATAATGAAATGATATGGTTTGTTAATGACTTGAAATAAGTATAGATGTTTCATAATATGAAATTATATACAGTTAAAAACAGACTAATTTATACAGAATGTTTAAAATAAATTTTCTGGGTTTTCCTTTTCGCATACACTCTACCCTACCCTTGCTAGGTAACTATTTACGTTATTTATATGATAAAAACTAGGTAAGCATGACTTAATTGAAACTATAGATTTTGATTAGAGTAACTGTACCCCATCATAACATCCCTTTTTATACGAGGGAGGCGTAATCAAAGTGCATGGGCGGCTATACCTACCCTAGAATGGACAGTTGTGTCGCGGTATCGATTTGCAACCTTGCAATGGGTTTCTTAAGGTGTATTTATTTGATTTGTTAACCAGCCTGCACCTTGGATTTAATGTAGTCAAGTTCAAATTAGCATCCCATCATCTAACATGGTGGTACAAAATTACAAATCACGTAAGAGCTTTATCACACCGATTACAACCATCACCCGATTACGACCACATTTCGGTGCAGAAAACTTTTGACTTCCTTCCTTTATATACATTACGTATATAATAAGTATTTAATGTAGTTATTTAGAGTCAATAAATTCATCCGACATTTTCAATTTAGTGAAAGGTCAGATAAACCATTTTAGCACTTAGAGATAGGTACTTAACTAAGTAAAGTGTATTCCGCGTGTCTTAGTGCTGTAGTATGCTAGAGATAAGTAGGAAGTTATAACTATTTTCTTGTTAATTACTTGCTCAGTGGTAATGGCTGCCTGCGGGAAGTAATCAATAAAGTTACTATCAATGAAAGACAACGACCAAATGATGTCTAAAGTAATCATAATTTTACGTTTGTTTCGCATAGATGGTATGATATAATCGGTTCATAAAGTACAAAGCTTATAAAACACCGGACTTGGGCCAGTGAATACGTATTTATACATAGTTCATAGACCCACTCCCCTCGGTTACGCTCGTCGGCTTCGTCGCGGACTGCGGTGCTGCGCATCGCGTGCGCAGTTCACTTGTTATTGATTTTTAGCGCACCCCGCTACGCATTTCATCCCTCTGTCTATGTGTTTGCTATGTAAAAGTAAATACTAGTACATAAGTTAATAGCTTCATCGATCGTACAAACGAGTATAGATTTGATGCAGTGTGTAGGATCTGGAAGGGAGGATCGGATGACTATTAAATTGTTAACATTATGACGTATTTTAATCAGCCTTGTTTTTACTAAAAACTCACTGCGAGGTGGAAGCCGTTGATGAAGACGTCGAAGAGTATTTACTTAGTTATTTAATTTTTAGCGTTAAGAGTCGCATCTCAAACTAATTTGAAAATTATAGATAACTTGAAAAAATCGAACTGCCTAAGAAAGAGCAGTCGCCCGGCAAGCGGAAGGTCGTGGGTTCAATTCCCGCCTTAGACAGTTCGATTTTTTCAAGTTATTTATAATTTTCAAATGAGTATTTACTTAATTGGGCAGTTCATTTACTACATAGAGACTAGGCTAAGTAAAATTTTAGGATAGCAACTTTAGTACAGTAGAATCCCGATTATCCGGATCAATTAAAACCAGGGGTGTTCCGGATAATCGTAAATCCGGATAATCGATTTCAAAGTAAAATCAAACAATAATGAAGTTTTTACAATAGAAAGAGTTTTCAATACATTATTTAGAGTCAAAAATCAAAATTTTAGAACATTGGATGAATCCATTTCTTTTAACAATGAACTAAGACGAAGTCCGGACCGTGTTACGGTGGCAGCGCCTTCCGTTTTTATGGGTCCAGACCCTAAATCGGTAATTAGAAACCGTGAAGAACGAGTCCGGAAAATCGGATGTCCGGATAATCGAGGTCCGGATAATCGAGATTCTACTGTACCAGTTCGATTCCTACTGAAAACTGCGATGGGTGAGCTCCGTTTTTTATTTCGCTTCGTTTTCTGTAGAGGTTCTTCTTTGAAGATTTCTATGCCAGTAAGAAGAAGTCGATTCGAAAATTCGAAATGCACCTACTTATGTCCGTGATAGAGGTCCAAGTTTTGCGCCAATATGTTTGCGGATTGCGCTTTTTGATACAGGCTGTTATATCTATCTTTACCATCTTATAAACTATGGTTAAAATAAACCTTTAACCTTTTATTTTAAACAACTGGTTGGTTAATTTCTGGGACGAAAGTAGAATATGATTAACAAAAATGCTGCTTGTACAAGTTGTAGGCACTTGTATTGTAGACTTGTAGTGTAGGTGGTGCGTAATGATGAAGATGAATAAAAAAATTCAAGGTTTATGGATTAAACAGTTTATTAATTAAATAAATACGAGTCCAAGATTAACCACAATTCAAATATCTACAATAATATCGATAATAAAAATAAATTACGAGGTATAAGCATAAGCATAGATTCTATCGTCCAAGTGGAATTAAAAATATTAATGTCAGTTGTTCCAGCTGTCAAACTTGACGTTACTTTTTGATGATGCCGTATTTTGGTGTAAATGTTTTTCTGCGATTTTAATTAATTTCATTACACTGCAGTTTCGTCATGAACCCTCAAACTAATTCAACGGCCTTATCTGCCGACCTGAACAGTTTTATTTATGGCGTATCACGTAGAAACTCTCAGAATGCACCAGAGCTCACAAAGATCGGCATTTCCCTTCTGAAGAACTTCCCAGCTGCTAGGGATGCTGTGTTGGAATTTTTTGCGATGGTGTTCCACGATGCGGTTAATGTTTCTCTCAACCAGTCTGATTATGAGGTAAATATTTTAGTTTTTGGAGAACTTAAATTATAACCTAAATTCAAAACATCTTAATTTTATCAAAACTCTTGTTTTACATTATATTAAAAAGCCTATATATTATTTTGATGTTTAAGCTTCATTGCTCTTAAGTTTAATTCATATAGGTTCTTTAGATTTGGCTTTGAAAGGGTAACAAACAAAACATTGTTATATGAGTAGGATGGTTGTTAATACTACTATGCTGAAAATGTGGTGTGATAATCTCTTGGGTCTTCTTTCCAGCCTGATTTGAGCACTAACGGATCTCTGGAAAGTGTGAGCATGATTGGGCCCGAGCTGTGCAGCTTGGGCCCCTCATGGGCTCCGTTTATTACCCCCTGGTGCATCAACTTGATCATGGACATTGCTACGAAGAAATCAAATGTACCAAGTAAGTTTAAAGCGTCATCATAACTTCGTGCGGTTCACACAGCTTATGACCGCAGTCTGTGGAGGAACACTATCTGTGGTCGCGATCCTCATCAGTGAGGGACCGAGGAAGAAGAAAGTTAAAAACACATTATAGTAAACAAACAGCATGACCATGGTGAAATAATACAATTCATTGCTTTTTTATAGAAAGAAGATTTTTGGTTTTTCTTTGAACCAGACTCGACAGATAAGGAGATGTTTTATTAAAATCTTTGTAAAAGAGTTTTTAACAAATTAAGATTGAACATTTGGATATTTCCTTAGCCTTGATTTTGTTTCAGATGCAACATTACAGAGCCTTGAGACAGTCCGGACTTTACTAGATATGACAACACAGAACTTGACACTACTCAACTCTGAGGAGAGGGCCAAATGCATTGACATGATGTTGGGTAATGTATTAATAATTTATTGAAAACATTTATTGCTTATTTATTGTAAGCTTGCGATATGATTATTATTTTTTATTTTCTTTATGATCTTTGATGCAGTAGAAGATTTTTTAAGTAGCACTTATTGCTTGATGTCATCTTCATCTTACGTTTCTCTTTGAGCATGAGTTTTGTATGCAGAGTATGAGTTTGGTCTAGCCTAGCAATGTCTATTCAAAGATGTGTATGAATGGTGTACTCCTTGAGTGACATAATGATAGTTTGTGAGAATAATAACATATTAGTTAGGCCAGGGTTTCTCAAACTATGGGGTTGTTTCTCAAACGACCCAGTGCACAGTGGTGGGTCGTCAGCGAACATTGAGTGGGCCCTGCCTGTAGAACGACACACCACCCTTACCAATACAACCGCTGGGCAGTGGGCGCAATTTCCTATAGGTGGGTCCCGAGTTTGGGAACTTTTATTAGTAGTTTAGATGAGTCGTAGTAGCCCAGACAACTTTGGGAACCACTGAGTTAGGCCATTGTAGTGGCGACACAGTATGCTATGCCCTTCCCTCTCATTCCTGGGCTGTCCTGGGACCGGTACTGAAAAGCATCCTTTCCGATTAGCAGCGTAGTGGCGCTGGACGGGGTCGGGCGTACGCCGCTAGTGTGCATTTATGGGCACCCGCTGCGTGAGCCCGCGTCTAACGTCCGCACAGTTTTAAATAAGGCTCGGCGCAAATGGGCCACCGACCACAGCTACCGGTGGCTGTCGCACGCATGTACACTACCTACTGTTGCGAGTGTCCGCCTCCGGATACACGTGTGCGGCGCGTCTAGATATAAAATATATTAAAAAGTGTGTTAGAGCGCTTTCACATTTAGGCGATTTAGCAGCGCAGCAAACGCGCGACAGACGCGCTGCTGAAAATGTCATGCTATGTGACAGCGGATGCATGCCTTCACATTATAAATCGTCGCTGCCCCGCTGCTGTCGCGCTTCTAACGCCGTAATGTGAAAGCGCTCTTAAGTCGCTGTCGCTGGCCACCGGTGGCTGTGGTCGGTGGCCCATTTGCGCCGAGCCTTAGGTCCCATCCCATCCCACGATGTTGAAAATTATCTTATACAGGGTGTTGATTTCAATCCTCGCCATATTAAAGTCAAAGTCAAAGTATTTATTTGCAAAGAATAGGTACAATGGTTTAGGTGTTACATTTAGGTAGAGTGTTACTATTCTGCTTAACAATATCAGCATGCAAATTTTGTGTCTAGGAATTCCTTTACACTATTAAGTTCCGTGTCATGACAGTGGTTGACCCCTTCTTAAATCTATCTGGAATTTTGTTATAGATTTTTATACACATATAGTAGTTTATAATCCATCAAAATAAAATACAATAACTAAAGTTAAAGTTCGTTTTAAATTTTTTTCGAAGTCAATTTATTTACTGATTCGTGATCAGAATAAGCTACTTAATCAACTCCCTAAATATGGCGAGGGTTGAAATTAACACCCTGTATAAGCTTCCCAATCATACATCGTAGGTTCCTGGGCGTGTTCATGGGCGGTAGGCTGGGTGGGTCGCGCGGAGCCGGCGCTGGTGGCGCCGCGGGCGCTGGCTCTCGGCGTGGACGCGGCGCGCGCGGTCCTGGCGCACCTGGCGCAGCACCCGCCAGCGCTGCTGCACGTGCGCGCGGCATTGGCTGACCTGTTCCACGTGAGTAGTTACAGCAGGCTGTCTGGTTCCGATTGTGGACCCTATTCTGGCCCGTAGTCTTGTCCCGGGCCTGGCCCCTAGCTTGCACTGTCTGCAGCTCCACTGTCCAGCCATTGTCTGGACCCGCGCCTGGCCCCTTGCCGCTGCAACTGCGCCGTCTGGCCCCACGGTAGACCAGCAGCTGGCCCGTCGCCTTGCTCTCGCTGCAGCTTCACCGCCTGGCCCCTCATCTGGCCCGAGACCCGCGGCTGGCTCTTCTGCCTTGTCTCAGACCTTTCCCCTAGCCTGACTCACTGCAGTTGCACTGTTTAGACCCGAGGCTGGCCTCTCGCAGGCTTTTGCTGTAACTGCTTTTGGCCCATCGCCTTGTCCCGGGCCTGGCCCTTCTCGCCTGGCTCTCACTGCAGCTGCACTGCTTGACCCCTCGCCTTGCTCTGGCTGCAGCAGTACCGTCTGGCCCCTTGTATGGCTCCACGTCTAGCTTCTTGCTTGGGTCTCGCTACAGCAGTGGTATTGCCAAGGCACGGTCCCGATGCGTGGGGCTGACTGCTATTTGAGGCATCGCGTGATCGTCGAAGAGCAAGTGGTGTGCCTGAGTTATATCTAGATCAGCCGTTCTCACCTAGAATCTAGTAAATAAATGATATTGTTGCATCTATATTACAACTGTAATAATGATTTCAATTTTGTTTTAGGAGGCCATCAAAGAAGACAGTAAAATAGATAAAAAACGTGACGTGATACCCTACCTTCTGAACCTCGCGTCCAAATCAGACATAGTTCTGAAAGCTCTCACACAAGACATCGCGTTAACACGTATGTATCTTCCTCTATCCATTCTTCTATTTATTTCTTCATAATAATACCATTGTTATTGTTTCCTAGTAACCGATGAGGTCATGGACCGCCTCTGTGTGATTTGTTCGACCCAGCGCCACACGCCCGCTTGGGAAGGCGTGGGACCAGCTTCACTCGTCGCCTTGCTAATGCGGTGTGACGTCAGATGTCTGCTGCTGCTGCTGAAATATGCACAGAAGAATCTGTTCTGCAGGCAACTTCTAGGTGAGACTTGTAAATTGGTAGTCTTTTGTTTCATAATGCTCATGGCAGGACATTCTCCAGAGGTAAAAGAGATCGAAGTAAGAGATTGCCTCTATGTTATGCTCAACCCGGACCCTGGGTTCCCATTCGTCCGGGTTTCCCCCGTTATGTCCTAGTTTAGAGCGTCCGGTGTGCGTCCGGGCGGGGTTTCATTTGTAGTCCGGGTTTAAAATTTTCATTCTCAGGTCGATGCCGGGCGATGCGACTAAGTTTAAAAAAAACCTGATGTCTGGATTCTAGGCTTCAAATCCAAAATCCGGGGTTTTTACGCGTCTAGTCCTTGTTGCCAAATTTTAGAGATGACAACCCTATGCTCAACACAACCTGACCTGCTCCTGCTATGGTCTGAGGTATTGAATCTAGACACTAATCTTTTTAGAATCTCAATATTTTATGTTTATTATTTTTCAATTGCAGAATATTTGCTCCAAAAGTTAGAATTCGAGAGCTTGTTCCCGGACAAGCCAATACCTCTGCTGACGAGCGCCGCGGAAGAGATCAACATAGTCCGGGAGAAGTTGCTGATCGGCAACAAGTTGGAGCAGTATTCCCTCGCTAGGATACTGATTTTAGTCAGTAAGTAATATTTTGTAGCATATTTTGACGTAACTATATTTTGCTGGCTAGCTCTATCGACACGTAAAAAAAAAACTTTATATACAGAGGGACACTATCTTAAAATGCGTGAATTTTTCGGTGACCATTCTGTATGTACTTAGTGGCATAGTTCTTTCATATCTTATAAGTTTCGTTGTAAGATCTTTGTATTCGATTTGATTGATGACCAATTAGAAAAATGGCATCTTGATATTACTTGGTATGATAGCTATTACGCCTAATTAGACCACTCCTCCAACCAACGCCACTGGGACATAAATGTGGAGAATGGCCTGAGCTACCCCAATGACCGTGAGACTTATGTGCACGGGCGGGACTATTCCCATCTCTCGTTCCCACCGCTGTGTCCTGTGTAGCCAGGATATACAGCTTGACCACTAATAAAAATTCAACCAGTTAAGGCCAAGTTTGTGAAAAACATATTTCAAATACACATACGTTTTTATCAAATCGTATCCCTGCAGGCTACAACCAACCCTCAGAATTCATCAGCACCGTCAGCTACCTCCTCCAATACGCCCGCGACGACTCAACTCTCGCGCTACTCGTGCGAATCATATCTGGCACCATCACTATGCACGTGCCTAACGACGGCTCTGACGTCATCATGGACTGGTGCGGAGATGTGCGGTGATTCATAGATAGCAATAGACTGACAGCTCACACATTTCTCGTCTCCCCATCGCTCCAATCTTCTCCGCTCCGCTTTGGTGGAAATAGCCTGCAAGCTTCGCCGCACATCTTTCCGCACGCTCCGCCTTGGTGGAAACTGGGCCTTAAGGTCATTGCGGCTTGGCACTGGCCAGCTTCTTTAGGACAGTCGATGGCACAAATCCTTACCCACCGAAACTTTTATAACGGTAAATTAGATATTTACCCTCCCGACGTTTCAACTCGGTTGTACGAGTCATGGTCGCGGGCAGACTGAAGAGATGCGGCGTCGTCTGCTCTGGCGCGATTTATAGTAAAAAAAGCAATATAATAGTTTAAAATATTATACTTGCTCACCGAAGTTGCAACTTACACACAGTTGATATACCTGTAATACTACTTTTTTAACAAACAAAAACTCCACAGGCTACAACCAACCCTCAGAATTCATCAGTACCGTCAGCTACCTCCTCCAATACGCCCGCGACGATTCGACCCTCGCGCTACTCGTGCGAATCATATCAGGCACCATCACTATGCACGTGCTTAACGACGGGCCTGACGTCATCATGGACTGGTGCGGAGCGTTGCGGTGTTTCATAGATAGCAATAGACTGACAGCTCACACATTTCTCGTCTCCCCATCCCTCCGCTCTTCTCCGCTCCGCTTTGGTGGAAATAGCCTGCAAGCTTCGCCGCACATCTTTCCGCACGCTCCGCCTTGGTGGAAACTGGACCTTAAGGTCATTGCGGCGTGGCACTGGCCAGCCTGTTTAGTACAGTCGATGGCACAAATCCTTACCCACCGAAACTTTTATAACGGTAAATTAGATATTTACCCTCCCGACGTTTCAACTCGGTTGTACGAGTCATGGTCGCGGGCAGACTGAAGAGATGCGGCGTCGTCTGCTCTGGCGCGATTTATAGTAAAAAAAAAGCAATATAATAGTTTAAAATATTATACTTACCCACCGAAGTTGCAACTTACACAGTTGATATACCAGTAATACTACTTTTTTAACAAACAAAAACTCCACAGGCTACAACCAACCTTCAGAATTCATCAGTACCGTCAGCTACCTCCTCCAATACGCCCGCGACGACTCAACTCTCGCGCTTCTCGTGCGAATCATATCTGGCACCATCACTATGCACGTGCCTAACGACGGCCCTGACGTCATCATGGATTCGGACAGATACCAGGGCTTCATAAAGACGGCCGTTGAGCATGCATTGAGAGACGCTGTCTTGGCAGACACGGAGATTAAAAGGTGCTTCATAGAGGATAATGTGCCTAAAGACCAGAAGACTTATGTGCATTATTACTGTTTGAACATTATTAAATTGTTGAGGTGAGTTGCTTGCTGAATATCCTTTATAGTATTTTTTTTATTCAAACTAAAAAAAAATCTTTCACGAAAATGAGAAATCCTCAATCAAGGTTTTGTGTCAGGTTAGGCCCCTTGACATTTTAATGTTTTCATTTCTTTTTTAACTATGTTCCTTTGTCTTTTTTATTAATTTAGAATAGAATAGAAAACTTTTTATTTGAGAGAAATAAACAAGAGGACAATTATTAACTGCTTGTGCCCCTATTTAAAAATATTTTGTTGTATTGAATCTGATCAATTCATTGTATGCAGAGTTTGATTCCAGTTCCAGTGTTTATTTTCGAAAACTAACTATAGCCTGACCAGGAACATAAAAACCCTCGCCATGTTGCGGAAAACTAATGGTACTAATTTATTTTAATGGCAACAGTAACTGAAAACTTCATTGACATGTCACCTTGCATGTCAGTCTATTGCTGTCAAAGTGTAAACAAACTTTATATTAAATGTGCGCAATTGATTTTGTGAATTAAATTGCTAAAATCTTTTTATAGTCGTGAAAGAAAAGTGGTTCACAATGTGTTAAAGGATTTGTCGAAGAGAAATACTAAGGGTTCGGACAATATTTTCATTGAATAATGTTTCCGACAAAGGTTGTCAAATTGACTGACATGTGTATCGTATAGTACAGTCCACTATGAAAAATAGCTGTGGTTTGTTTCAACTACCTATTTTAATTTTTTTTGTCACTTTCTAAGTGTTGAATTTTATGGAATTGGGAAAGAAGTACCGAGTTTAAAATAAGAGAATAATAAAATAAATTCTACTAGCTCGATTGATGGTTTCATTTAATTTATTTAAACCAGGTTACCTATAATAATATTTTTTCGTTAATTTATGAAAATATCAAATTAGCCCGTAATCCTAAATCCTGATACATAAAGTTAGCCTATTATCTAACACAGGTACGACTGTACTCAGTGTTGCACTATCAAATGCAATTGACGCGCCTCTATGCCAGGGTTTTTATGTTCCTGGTCAGGCTATAATATAACTTACTTCCCGTGTACTTTTATAACTTCATGGTTTTTATTACATACCTGATTCTTTCTAATAGATGGGAGAACTCCAACCAGGTGTCTCACTTACGAACGCGGCCGATCGGTCGAGCAGTGGAAGCCAACCTTTACGGCATAGGCGGAGCTTTGAAAGAGTACACCTCTTTGCTGAGGCCACGCCCCCCTTGCACTATGGCGTCGCTGGATGAAATGCCCACTTGTCATGCTCTAGCTGAGGTATGTGAAATTGACCCTACCCTACCCTATTAGTACCATCATCAGTTTTGACTGCGGTGAAATATGTACCTGCCATAACATACATAAAAAAAAATGTGGCATCGGAACGGAGTCCGCAACGGATCGCCGTGGATTCGAGGAATACTTCTATACCCGTTCACCGCTTGTGTTAAACCCACTCCTAACAACCATATATTCAGCTTATTTTGAGTATAGTTGTTGATGTTGGTATAGTTTACTTCAGCAAATATTTTTTACATGCCTTCTGTGGCCCATAAAATAATATCACATAGATGACGTAATATTCTTTGTTTCAGGTACTTGATAGAGTGGACATGTCAGGCACCAAATCCCCGCCACCCAGTGTGGAGGTGCTAATAAAAGTGGTCCAGTCCACCGTCAAATATTTCTTTAGGTGCCTTCACGAGAAAGGTAAGAAAATTATATTAGCACCTAATTTTATTTTGCAAGCTTATCAAACAAGTTTTATTCACGAGGTGGAAAAGAAGGTTAGAAGGCGCTGGATGCAGGTCGCCTCCAAACGGAATCTAAAAATCATTTCTATGTTAGGCAGTAATTTCTGTAGCAACATTTTAAGTAAATTGTATCTCCATTGTGACGAATCAAAAAGGGACAATATTATTTGATCCTCTAAAAACTAATTGATCTTTTTTGTATGTGCACTTTTAAAAATAAATGATGTTTTTTATTATATTTTATCTTTATATTAATTATTGGGTCTATATTAGTTGATCTACGGATAAATTATGAATGATCTTCATTAAAGGTAACATAATATTTATGTTTAACATACTCTTTTAATATTTGGTAAACAAAAATAATATTTGATCCTCTTTTTTAGTTATTGATCTTTAATTTTGTCAATTTGATGATTTTTATATCAAGTTTGCCTTTTAATATTGATCACCTAATAAATACATTTCGATCTATGTATAACTTAACTTTAAAATATATTTGATCTAACAAAAAATATTATTGGTTAATATTTTTAATTAAAAAATATCTTTTAATTTACGCGGTACTTTGTCTGTCTGTCTGTCTGTCTGTTACGCTTTCCCGCTTAAACCTCGCAACCGATTTTGATGAAATTTGGCATAGAGATAGTTTGAGTCCCGGGAAAGAACATAGGATAGTTTTTATCCCGGTTTTTGAAACAGGGACGCGCGCGATAAAGTTTTTCTGTGACAGACAAAATTCCACGCGGGCGAAGCCGCGGGCGGAAAGCTAGTTTATTTTATGTCTCGAAGAAAGAGGATCAATCATTAAAATAGATGACCATTTAGATTTTTTTATTTGCCGTTTTTGCTAATTTAAAAAGATCATTTAAATACATGCCAATCAAAAACACCTCTCAAGCTAAAATCCATCTAGATTTTATGCTACAGAGTGTGCCAAAGAAACATACACTGGGAACTTGCGCAATAGGGTTAAAATGACATTGAATTGCATCGGCAGATATAATGGACAAGCTTCGCGGCGTACAAACTGCGTGTCGACTCCTGCGCAAGCTTTGCATCCACAGCAAGATGGCGCGCTCCGTCGCGTTACGAGACTTGTTGGAAACCGCCATGTTTAGAGAAGAGAAGGCATTCGGCAGCCGACCAGTCGTGGCCAATACGGTCGCTGCGAGCAAGGACTGGCCGCAAGATGACTTGCTGATCAATTTGAACCAGAAGCATGTAAGTTTATACTGTTAAAAAAACAAGACAATAATTAAAAGCCACACATTTATTTCTCAATAGAACTTAGCTTAGCTACAAATAGGTTCGCTTAATAAAATAATACAAATTAACAATCAAGTTGCGTAGCACCTTGACGCTGACAACACAGGACCGGTTGTTGCGGAAATAATTGAGGAGGTCTTTGTCCAGCAGTGGATGTCTTGGTTGGATCGAACGGACGAACAAACGAGTAACTGACGGAGTGTTCTTAGTGAAACGTAGAGTTACCATAATTGTAATGACTAGCCATTAAAAAACAGAGCTATTTCACATCATTATTATTAGAGTACGTACACACACAATAGCTTGCGCTTCTTTTTATCTACTTATTTCTTTTTCCAGCTTGAGCAAATATCCACTCCACTACCCTAAACCATTCATTAATCACATATTGACTATAGCGCCATCTATGTACAATAAATAAACTTAAATAAATGCCCGAACTACTTGAGTTTCGGTAAAATCTTAGCTTATCCTAGCGCTTTTGGGTAAAAAAAGTTGCTTACCTGATGAACCCAGCTTAGGATGCTCACGTATTTTATATGTGTTGACGCGTCTGTATTAGTGCTATGTTCTCTGTGCCGCCTCCAAGGACTGGACGACTCCAGACCTGCTGATACACTTGAACCGGAAACGCGTAAGTAGAGCAGAAATAAATATCTAGGACAGCTAACAATCTTTTACAGTGCCAACGGCGAAACACAGTATGAAACATCAAGCGGAAAAGCAATAATGTAATTTCCTGAACCACGTTCCTTACGTGTTTATTAGAGTGGTATTTATAGTAAACATCGAGCAAAATGAAAGTTTTAACATACTATTAGGGTAGTAGTTCAAATAGTAGATCAGGACCATCTCCACTTTTTCCTTGGATTACTAAGGAGCGACTAAGGGACAAAATATGCGATCATCTGAACGTCCCAACATGCGTCCCTATCCAGCTTGGGAAGTATAAGCCATTATCGTCCATTTGCTCCGGGTAATTTGGAGAGTCGTGTCGTCCTGCAAAGGAGATTGAATTTCCTGATGATTATGTATATCCGGTATTCCTGCAGTGGACACTAAATAACCTCATGTGTATCTTCCGTGCTTCAAATACATTTTCCTTGCAGGGTCCGATAACTCAGCTGACTCAGAGCCACACGTCGGTATTCCACGCTGGAATCATCGGTAAAGGCGTGCGCAAACTCGACGAGATCGAAGACTATTTGCCGCCCGTGCTCACCGCTAATAACGAGTTGTTGATGGGCGCCCTTATGTCTTGCATGGTGAGAATAATACGCTATAGACCAGCGGTTCCCAAACTTACTTAGTCTACTGCCTACTTTGAGAATAAATTATTTTTAGCGCCCCCTATTTTTGTAGTCAAGAGTCGAGCTCAGTCGGTGTCTAAGAGTCCTCCTAGTAGATGACGCCTCCCAAGCCTCTACACAACGTCCCGATTTTTTTTCTAGGTCTCTTACCGCCCCCCTTTAAGCCTGCAGCGCCCACAAGGGGTCGTTATCGCCCACTTTGGGAAAGACTGCTATAGACTATGCTATAAGGTCTACTAGCGAATAACTGAGTGCCTGAGGTATGGGACCGACACGTGAGGGGTGACATTGACATAATATAATGACGTGACAGAGGATACAAAAGACAATGCCGGAAATTGGCGTCTTTTTTTTTTCGCGCGGCCATCGACCAAACTTTGTTTTTTGATTACAAAATAGTGTAATAAACCAAACTTACTATGACATGTATACCTCTAAACTCAGTCTAAACTGAGTTACGAGCATTAGAAGTTTGATGATTTTGATACTAGATTTATTTATTTATTTATTTATTTATTTATTTATAATCTGCTTGAAGGCTTACAGAAAGTCCAACGCGCCAACAAGTTATACAATACAGATAATTTATAATATCAATTTCAATATGTAAAATTGTCAAATAATTAAAACGATAAATTAAATAATAGTCAAATAACATTAAAATTAAATACATAAAATAATTAAGTCCAAAATAGAATGTCATACCTAAGACTACTAATAAGAATAAGAGATAAATACATTTATGTCCAGAGATCAATGTCAAAGTTATTCAAAGTTATTACTTACACAAAAATCTATGAATTAATACCATTATTGTACCTAAGCGGTCGGCAAATATGTCGATATCGTGCTGAGCAACTAAGTCCCCGATTAAACGTAATGCGCGGGTAGAAGGCGCGCTCGCTGCGCGAGTGGTGCGCGTGACCGGCCGGTGTAGCAGCCTAGGGCGGCGACGCGGTTCAACCATCCCGGTAACATCCCGTGGTATGCGCGTGGGCACTGATAAGCCTACTTTCGCTAATATTTGTGGACTATCAATTTTGCCATGTATAATCGACAAATAGTATATTATACTTGACATTATCCTCCTAAACTTAAGGGTTTCCAAATCAACCATGCCGGAGACAAACAAGGACGGGTACAAATAGGGGTAATATCCGTATCTCTTTTTTTTGCGCGCAAAGTTTTGTAAGAAATTGCAACAAAATAGTGAGATTGTATGTGTAAACAAACAATACCATCCATTAAAGGCTCCAGACATCAGTATGGAGCAGAATCAGCGCAATAAAAAAATAGCGCAATATTTTGTTGCAATTTCTTACAAAACTTGCGCAAAAAAAAAGACGCCACTTTCCATACAAAATCCGGCATTGCCATTTGAAAGAAAGAAAGAAACATTTATTACGATGAACATCACTTAGTTATGGACAGAGAACGTATACAGAAAAAAGACAAAAATAGCACATAAATATTACAAGGAAATAAAAAGTGAAGTGAATGCCCATCGCAATGGGACTCCACTCAGTATATGCAGTGGCCCACGGTGGGGAAGGCCACGACGCTTGTTTACAGTGGGCCCCATCGAATTTGAAGTCTCGCTGACTTTTGACATGACAAAATCACCCTCCGTGCCGCTCCCATACCCCAGGCATAGAATTAGATAAGCGGTAGACTTTACAACATACATTTCTGATTCGTGATTTGTTTTTTACTTTTTTTCGCAGGACGGCAATAGCGGTATAGTGGAAGGAATGACGTCAGTCTCGTTGCTTCTAGTCGAGCTGGTGGCTCCCGATGTCATGTATAACGGCCTACCCTGGCCTGACGAAGACTTTACTAAGGTAAGCATTGACATTCCTTGTAAGAGTAGTAGAATCAATCTTTGTTTGAGCACCTTGTCAAAAAACATACACTATGTCTGGTGGCGACTTTATCCCACTCGACTTTTTTCCAAACGGCCATTAGTTCTACCAATTGTGTATGTAATGTACGAGTATGTAGCCTTGAGTATGTGTAGACAGGTTCTCCACTTTTTGGATAGGCGATCTGGTTAAGGTCTCGGGAAACGTCTGAGGGCTTACGCTAAAAGTTGCACGGATCATCTGTTTCTCTCCTTCAGCAAGTGACAATCGAGCGCGAGTAGCGGTTTGGAGGCGGTTGTGTGTTGTGGAAATCTTTTGGGGGAGGATCTTTTGTGCACTTATGACTGAATGACTATTAAAGTTATCATCTGTTGTTCTTCAGCAGGTGAGCATTGAGCGTCAGTTATACATGCGTTGCGCGTTAGAAACGTGTGTGATGGCGCGTGGCTTTGTCCAGTGTGGTCCAGTAGTGGTCGTCTTTTGTTAATTTGTATCGACATGACTATTGAAGTTACCATTTGTTGTCCTTCAGCAAGTGAGCATCGAGCGCGAGCTATACATGCGTTGCGCGCTAGAAGCGTGCTTAGTGGCGCGTGGCTTTGTCCAGTAGCAAAGTTGTGTCGTCATCGTCTTCTGTTAAATCATATTGACATGACTATAGAAGCTCTCTTTTTCAGCAAGTGAGCATCGAGCGCGAGTTGTACATGCGGTGCGCGCTCGAAGCGTGCGTGGTAGCACGCAGCGCGCTTCGGCGGTGCGCGGGCGCGCGGCCCTCGCTGTGCCTGGCCTCGTCGCTGCTGCGCGCCGTCGCCGCCACGCTGCTGCACCGCCTCAAGGCGCTGCTGGGTGAGTGTATACACGCGGTGCGGCCACAGTATAATAATAAGTACTACGTACAGAAGTTTTACTTCGCGAAAGTATTTTAAAAAATGTATGCTCAATGTCATTAACAATATTAAATTACAATTTAGCCTGTCTCAAGAGTCAAGCACCATTTTGTTGACAAACGTCAGTGATCGGCACTGCGCCGAAGCTATAGGGCTGACATCGGTAAAATGATGTGACGTGAGGTGCCAAACTGCGGAAAATGGCGGAGGAAATACATGATTTAGCATGAATTATCATGAATAATATTAACTACTAGCTGACCCGGCGAACTTTGTTCCGCCTTAATGGCAATAAATAAGCAGACTTTTTTTTTATTTCGAACGGGATTAAAAATCCCTTGTCCTTCTCCTGGCTCTAAACTACCTCCCTGACAATTTTCAGCTAAATCGGTTCAGCCGTTCTTGAGTTATAAGTGGAGTAACTAACACGACTTTCTTTTATATATATAGACTTATTTACCTCTCAGTGTCTTGAGGCAACTTAAAAAAGTACATTCTGTGTTTTTATTATTATTTAGGCAGTTAAAATACTGCACAGTATTTAATACTCCATTTTCTTTATTTTCTTCCTCATACATAAGAATACGCGTGCGTGAGTCAATGTTCGCTCGTATGTGAGGCCTTGTCGAATAGTATCCTGTAGGTGGGCCATCGTGCGTGTTTTGTTTTCGATGTAAACTCGCGGAGATGAACAGGCCTGGTGCGGCCCTCGCTGTGCCTGGCCTCGTCGCTGCTGGTGAGTACAACCGCTCTCACATGGGGATCGTGGACCCATATGACACATCATCAGGTTATTTAGAAACACGCCACGTTTCACTGCAGGAACACGACATGCCCCTCCAATTTACAAATGGACAAATTGGCCTATACTCCCTATGCTGACCACACTTTGGGGAGGCCGGATGTTACCATATTTCTTCTTTAGCCAAATCTATACGGCAGTCAGACGCTAGCCGTGCTATGGAATAGAAAAAAATTTTTAAATAGAACAAACAAAATCTTAAACTATAGTGGACAAACCGCCAACCTAACTTTCAACCATCGCCATCTGCTTTTAACATTCCTGATTAAATGCATAAAGAAGCAGCAGTCACTTTTGTCAGCCTATATTTCAATCATCTTATAAGAAACCATGATACTTACTCTGCATGACCTGTGGTTGACTGGCAGAGAATGCCATCCGGCATTAAGTCCGCCACAGTGCATTGTTTCTATGTGTGCTAAAGTTTAAATAAATAAACCGTATAATTTTATTTTATTTCTTCCTATAGATCGCCATACCCACGCGGCAGAGATATCCCGCGAGCGAGCGGCGTTATGCGATCTTCTCACCACGATGACGTTGGGCCAACTGCTGCCGCACCCGCTCTCGCATATGCTCGAAATGGCGCCCGAACTCACTGCTAACGAGGTAATTTTTTTTTATGCTAGACAAGGCAGGTATTTGACCACAATCGCACCTGGTGTTAAGTGAGATGAAATTGATGTTTAAAACTGCGATATTAGTAGGGGAGCCCACGACGGTAAATGGGGATTTATTGGGTTTCTAAGCTTAGATGATAAAAAGAAAAAAAAATGTTGAAACATTAAGAGTGAATTCGACCAAACAAGAGTAAATCTCAGAATGAATCGTCAGTTATTCGACATTTTGACATATTTCTCATACTGAAACTGTCAATGTGCCAGTTATACCAGGAGTTATTCGCGAATAAGTTTGGTCGAATCGGGCGTAAAAAGTATAGTCTGTCTAACAACAATATTTAATGCATTTGTAACTTTTGTTTCAGATTGTGCAAGTGATCAGAGATTGCCTATGGAATTACACCAGAGATAATGTGCCCTCGCCCGCCCTGTTTCCATGCGATTCCACGGGTAAGAATTCCAACTTTTATAGTTTTTCGGTGACATGAGAGCATTATCCGATTTTGTTCCCACCAGACGATGCAAGCTATTTTTTTTTATTTGGTGAAGATTCTCCAAATATAGGCCGATAATGTATTTAAAAAGTAAATTAAGAAATAGAACATCTAAATCAAAACTAGTGTCATCTGCTATAAACTTTTACAACATGTTATTTCTCCGTGTTTTAGTTAGAATATGGTCCACTTTTTTACGTGTTATTTTAGAGGAGGAGCCTATTATTTATAACTGACCAATTTATTTATCGTGCAAATGTTTCCCAGGCCTGCACTGGCGAGACCCGGTGAGCTGTAAGCCTTCAACCACGTACACTGACACGCTGCGACTCATCTTACAAAAGAGGATCGGGCGCCTGGGCCATCTCTATCCTACCATGTTCTTGAATCTGGAGAAAGACGCGCAGTAGATTTATAAGGATGATTAATTATTATTAATTGTACATAATGTAAATAGTTTTATAATAAATCAAGTTTCTCATATTTCTGGGAGTATTTTTTAAAGGCTACCCTATTCATAAAACCCATGTGTGTCAAGTTCAACCACCACCGTGAACAACATTTAGTTAAAGTTAACCAATTTATTTTGTTTTTGTTTAATGGTATATAGCTTGTGGTGATCAATGTGGCGAATTATTTCTACTGTGCGTAAATGACCTACTGCCGTGGATTAACCATAATACGTCATGGAAAGGAAATAATTATTCATTGCTACCTGCCAGCTTTTTATGTGCAAGACGAACGAAACGAATTTAAAAAAAAAGTTATGGCAAAAGTACACTATACGGAAAATTGTTCAAGTCGAAGCGCAAGCCCGCTCACTGAAGTATGGGAGACGAACGCGAACGGATGCAGATGGGATGGGGGAACGAGAAAATTATCGAGATGGTGTTCACACTATATCGACATGACCAATTTCCCGCATAGTGTACTTCCGCCATTACAACATGACAGTTGACAGTTTAGTCTGTTGACATTGACAGTTCGTTTGTTTTCATTATTTCATTTGTTGTGATTTGTGAAGGTTGGGGAATTTATTAAATTAACAAGTGTTTCAAGTGTAACTAAGTAAAATAACATTTAATTTGCTAGTTAGAGTGCTAAACCTTGAAATGGCAACGGCTGCAGCAAAACCAGAACCGATGGAAGAGGACGCAAGGAAACCCGTGTGCTTGATCATTTTAGGTTAGAATTAAGTTGTTTCAAAATTATTTCAATGGAAACATAATAAAATACATAACTAGTATCTACATCTTCCGATTGGGTGGCAGAATGATGAATTTTACTACTTTAAATTGCTAAATTTCCATACTCTTTCACAAGATGTCTTAGTAAATTGCTAATTTACCTACTTCTCGACTACAAGGAAGGAAGGAGTTTTATCGTATATCATTTACAACTTACAACTATGCAGGTGTATTAAATAAATTAAGAATTGAACACTGTACTTACTTTGTTGTGCATTTGAAAGGTATGGCTGGTGCAGGTAAGACCTCCTTCACCAGACGTCTAGCGAGCCAGGTCGTTGAAAGCTCGCGACCATATTTGATTAATTTGGATCCAGCCTGCAGAGAGGTGCCTTATCCAGCAAATATTGGTAAGTGTATTGTGAGAAAAAAAAAAACAAGTTAACTAAACTAAAACAGATTTTACTCAGCTGCACAAAGATGCTACAAAGGTGCTTTTTGCAACAAATCTTCACTTATTTAGGCTGAGTTACATCACCTGACACATTAGTTAAAGTATGATGGTGCAACCCAGCCTGAGTATTTCAGAGAGCATTATGACTAGAGTAAAAGAATATTATTTGTTGAATAGCATTTTATACTTATTGCCATAAATATTTTTTTTAAATACAGTTACAGATATTGAACCTCACAAGTTCTCTTTGCATAAGTATTTGGCAACAATAGGGATGTTTCCTGGGTCAAAAAGCAAGAGTTTTAATTAGTCCGTCAGTTAACTTATCAAAAAATACTCTACACGTATTTTTAAATTTTTCAAACTAATGAAAATTTAAAGAGATAAAGCGCGCCAAAGTTCATAAGAAGAGGCTCGTGACGTCAATGCGTGCATAAAAGTGCTGTGCACGTTGTGACGTCGTGCGTCGTCAACGTAATTATTTGTTAGATTGACAAATAAAAATATATGTGTCCAATATTTTTTGATATGAAACATGACGGACTAAAAAAATTTTTTTAGGAAACTAGCCTATTGTAGCTCCTAATTGAAAGATATTGCTTGCTTATTTCAGATATAAGAGATACTGTAGACTACAAACAAGTAATGAAGCAATACGGCCTGGGGCCGAATGGAGGTATCGTCACAGCTCTGAACTTGTTCTCTACAAAGTTTGGCCAGGTGGTGGATTTGATCGAAAAGGCTGGAAAGAAACACAAATACTGTATTATTGATACACCAGGTAACCTTACCTTCAAAATTATTTATTGTGAAACATACCATAAGTATTTATTGTACTGGGACGTCTAGGACTATGAACGTCCGTCATTTGTATTAATTTTTTTCTGTGTACAGGGATCTTAATCTATTAAACTCTTAATAATTTGTAGGCCAGATAGAGGTATTCACATGGTCAGCGTCGGGTACCATAGTGACTGAAGCTCTGGCATCTACATGTCCTACAGTGGTGGTGTATGTAATGGACACCGTACGCAGCGTAGCTCCGAGCACCTTCATGTCTAACATGCTGTATGCCTGCTCAATACTGTACAAGACTAGGCTGCCTTTCATCATTGTTATGAATAAGGTATGTATGTCACTGAACATACAAGCTATGTTTTGTATATTTTTACTACACTATAAATAAAAGACAATGAATTTATAGATGACTACAGCATTACAGGTTGATTTTTCTGAGATCAAAACCATTTCCTTTTAGATTGAGTTTGTAGTACAAATATTTTCGTCTTACCCATTCACTGTTACCTTAGTTTGTGTTTGTACATCAGGCGAACTTGTTGCCATTTTTTTAATTCTATGCCAGTTACTTATTTATGCCCAAAGGGCTGAATAAAAAAAAATCGTTTGGCAGTAGGTAAATTAAAAAATGGTATACATGGTTTGTTAAACTGTTAATTCGCTGTTTGCAGACAGATGTAGTGGACAACGCATACGCAGTAGAATGGATGCGCGACTTCGAAGCATTCCAGGAGGCTTTGGACGCCGAAGGTGACGGCGAGGGCGGCGCAACATACATCGGCAATCTTACCCGCTCTATGGCGCTGGCGCTCGACACCTTCTACACAGATTTGAAGTGTTGCGGAGTCAGCGCCCATACCGGCAACGTGAGTATCCTGATATACAGTAGCTATGCTATGCCATGCCGCTTATGGATGTGTGTGTGCATGCAACCTCATGCGTTCTACGGCGCTGGCGCTATTCATCTTAAATTTACCTGTCTTATGGTATTATCGCTCACCACCGAGACCTGCCTTAGTCTTTCGGTGCATGGTCGCCAGCAAGAAACGCTTTGACTTTAGCAAAATAAATTACATCGTTAAATATGCTAATTAGTGTATCTGCTTTTCAGGGTATAACTGAATTCTTCAAATTAGTTGATGAAGCTGCCGAAGAGTACGAAAAGTAAGTTGATAATTGAAATTAAAGCATTTGATACTTGTTGGAAAGATCTTTTGATAACATTTAATCTTTCTTCATAGGGAGTATAAAGCAGACTGGTTAAAAATGCGCGCTGAAAAATTGGAACAACAGAAAAAAGCAGAAGAGGAATTGAAAGCAGGCAAAATGGGTATGTATAATTTGTTGTTTTTTTGAGTTTATGCATTATGCAAATTAGATTTTTTTAGACAGAGTACCCAGGATATTTTTGCATTAACCACATTCTATTGACAACTTCCACTCCAATTTCAGAGGAGTCCGACACAGTGATCGGCAAGAAGAGTCTCATCGATGCGGTGCCGGCCGGCCGCGAAATCAGCGACATGTACCTGAAACATCCCGGCAACGATAGTTCCAGCGACGACGAGGGCAGCGAGGCGCCCGCACACGAAATTGGTACGTGAAGTTTGTTGTCTATTAATTTTTAACACCGTGGACGCCACGCGGCTCCCCGGTGAGCCTCGATTGAACAATATACTGTTGTGTCTAAAGCCCGGTCTGTGAGCACGTAGAATTTTGTCCAATGACCCCAAGATACCCATCCTTATCGCTCGCGCGTAATTATGTTGCTGTCGCGCTCGCACACTCAATATAATTACGCGCGAACGATAAGGATGGGTAGCTTGGGGTCATTGGACAAAATTCTACGTGCTCACAGACCAGACGTAGTGTCTCGGTAGTCAGACTTAAAAATCCTCCTGATCCCAGTTTGCCTTGAAAATGTGGACAAACGGGTCCCGAAACTTATTTCAGCTGTTGTGCACTTACTTCTCAATATATTTTAGACCCTATACGAAAGAAAAAAAACCAGCTGGTCATTGCTCGATGGAATCGGCCATTTACAAAATCGGTATTTCAAAAACATTAGAATCGTTTTTTTTTCCGGAATCATTCATTTATATTTTATGCGACTTAATAAATAAGTAGTTCCGATAAATTAGGGGCCGTTCAAGTATTACGTAAGCACCAAGGGGGGGTGGGGGGGTCTCTGTTTTGCTTATTTTGATGACATAGGGGGGTAGGGGGATCTAGATGATGATTACGTCACCGTTAGTTATTTACGTTTTTTCGGGGATTCCCGCAAATAATACATATGCGTAGGCAGGCACTCGCTTTGAGAACTGATTAGGGGAATTACCGCACATTAGGGAAATTACCGTGCGCTATTCACTTGTCTAATAATTAACTCTCGTGCCGACACTGCCCATTGAAATTTGAGAGTCGTAGTCCGCATAAAATATTATTATACGCGAGGCTGGCCTCCCGCGCGCGTGTTTTGTTGTTTGGATACTAAACGTATTGTAAGCATTGAAAGTTATCATTTGTGTTTATGTTGATGCATAATTGATGCAATTATGTTTGTTATGTTCTTTTTTTCTGATAATATTTTTTTGTTCCTTACTCTATGTGTATCAGTACTATCATTTAAACCTAATATTTTCATGAATTTTCCTATTTTAAAAATGACAATATAAAAAACACTTATAACAAAATGTTTACGTAAGCATAGGGGGAGGGGGTTAGTACTTTGCTTACTTTTGATGACAAGGGGGGCGGAGGGGTAAAAATGGTAAGAAATCTGCTTACGTAATACTTGAACGGCCCCTTACAAACAAATAAAATATTTTCTCCTAGATGACGACAAACCGGAGGATGTCGCTGCATTCCAAGAGTTTATCAGAAAGCACGTGAAGCCAAACGATTCGGGAAACAAGACGTGATGAAACTAATCTCTTCCATCTGTAAATATAGTTAAGTTTCTAATAAAAGACAATCTAAAAGACAAGTTTTTTATTTAAACAATGTAAAGTACATTATTATCGGTATTCCACTATGAGGGACTGGGTATAATTTTTTTTACATAAGTAGTATTATATTTTATTGTGTTCATTATTTAAGTACATATTTTTATTTATTAAGTCAATGTTTTTCAAAGACTCATCACAGTGGAATATTCGATTTAAAATAAACATGAATATATTTGTAGAACAAAACAATTTTAATTGGACAACAAAATTACGTGAAAGTAAAGTATTTGTGATAATGTTACGTTATTTAGCTACAAAATAAATATGAATAAAACATCTTACTGGAATAATAAATAAACTGAGATTACTAAGTTTGTATTGCTCAATATATCAATTCGTATTTTGGTGCTTATTAACACTGGTGATTGTAAATAAAACGTGTAAATTATGCTAAATAAACGTAAGTAAACATTCCCTAAGTAATATCTTGTAAAATTATTATTAAAGCAAACAGTTAAAAAGACTGCTACTTTCTAGATATGTTTAAAGGTTACATTTTCCTTTGTATTGTACGGTATTAACGCATGACGCGTGATAATGACAATGTGAATAACAATTAACATACATCAGTATTTCGGCATGAACTTAAAATTAATTGAACACACTGCTTTATAAAACGAGCGAAATGAAGAATGTTCACTAATTTTGTTTTTCAGCTTTCTGTATTCTCTGTTAAAAATAAAAAATACACGTGAAAGAATTATTTCGATACGTCAATTAGTTTCCAAGATATTGAATTTTAAAAGTGCGGGCGGCGGCCGGCCCGCCATTTTATGCGCGTGACGTCATATTACAACGACTGGCTCATATTTGTATGGGTGGAATCTTGCAAACTGAATTAAGACCCACTTCCAGGCAACCGATTAAGCTGAAATTTCGCAAACACATGTGATTTCGATGACCATGCAATATTATGATGACATGGAGCTGATCTGATGATGGAGCTGGAAGGTGGCCATAGGAACTCTATAATAAAACGACTTAAATGCATCGAGTTTGGGCTCGTTCGTTTTGTATTGATGAGTATTTTAATTCTATATAGTAATCAGGGTCTAATGATGGAGCTGGAAGGTAATTCGCAATAAAACGACACAATCGCATCAAGTTTGGGTTTGGTTCAATTTTAATTTCTGTGATGGGTCTGGGTGTTAATATGTATAATAAGTTTGTATTTAAAAAAAAAAAAATATTTAAGTATGTTTATATCCCTTTTCTAGTGAGCGGACGCTGTGAATGTACGTCACACGGGGTCACGTGACCGTCGGCGGGACTCAATATTTAAGCGAACTTTGAATGCCTATAAAATCATAACTACTGGGTATTTTTGAATGAAATAAAAACTAATGTATTTGTAAATGTAAAAGCTTAACTGTAACATAGGTTTCAAGTGATTTTGCATACCTAGTAACATTCTCAATTAAAAATTGCGGAATTTTTATCACATTTAGGCAGTAAACACCACAAATTAACAGTAATAATAAGTACTAGTAATTGAACATCTTTCGTAAATTCACCTATTTATTGGCCAACGAATAATAGATAACTTATTTCAGTTATACAATAAAATTTTAGTAATATTAGTTTCAAAAATATGTATAAAATATTATTATTTTGATCTTTAAATTGACTACCTATCTAAGATAATGATTTTAAATGATTAGCAGCGACCGAGTTTATTAGCAACCTTAAATTTTTATACCAATTTTCATGACAGGCAGATATTATTTAAAAACGGTAGCATCATCACACTGAAGTACAATTACATTAAATTTCTTTCTTCTATATTATACTAGCTTTCCGCCCGCGGCTTCGCCCGCGTGGAATTTTGTCTGTCACAGAAAAACTTTATCGCGCGCGTCCCTGTTTCAAAAACCGGGATAAAAACTATCCTATGTTCTTTCCCGGGACTCAAACTATCTCTATGCCAAATTTCATCAAAATCGGTTGCGAGGTTTAAGCGGGAAAGCGTAACAGACAGACAGACAGACAGACAGACAGACAGACAGACAGACAGAGTTACTTTCGCATTTATAATATTAGTTGGGATTTCCCACCAATATTTTAATTTACTCATTATAAAAATTACTGTAAGCACATTGAAGTTTAGAGAGACAAATAAAATTATTGAAGCAAATCCTGAATTTGCCTTACCTTTTGTATATTAAGTAGTTATGCTACAGTATACAGCCCGGTCGAGTTAACTGCGCGGGCACCAGGCAGCCGTGACGTCACATCGATGCTCTGGTACGAACAGTGTGAACGCGGGAAGGTGCGCGGGTGAGTTGCATTCCAGCCAGGGGCCTAATTCACGTATTTTGACACATTCAAAATCTGGTTGACGTTTAGAAGTCGTCCTATTGAAAAACAGTCCTAAATCCCTATTCACATGTCATTTCGATAGAACGATTACTTGATAGGATCGTATAGATGACCCACGCTGAACTGTCCCGCCAAACTCAATGACAGGGGGGCGCTACCATCGTTCAACTATATGGTTTCCAACATGGCAAAAATCGGAACTAGCGATTCGGTATTGACGGTGGCGCCCCACTGTCAATGTCATGCACAGGACAGTTCAGCCCCCCTAGACAAAACGCACTTTTTGATCGAATCGAAAATCGAATCCGTCAAAACTCCATACAAAAAAGGGGCTTTTCGACCACTTTTCGACTGGTTTGCGATTATAATTTGCACTTTGTCTAGACCCACAGTATTTTGGAACTATAACTCAGCGATTTGTCATTTGACGTTTAATCACTTGAACCAAACTTCAAAATAGGTTAATACCGCGGAGGCAACGATTGAATACGCGTAAAAACGAAATCGAAACAAAAACGCGTCAATACGAAAAGTGACTCTAGCAATCAAATCGCTTGCATGTCGTTTAAGTTTTGTTACGTGGATTCAGCTACAGGTGCGTTAACTTGTCCGGGCTGTACCTTTCAATTGCCTATAGATGACACCTATCTCTGCATCAGTATTTAGTATTTACCCAACCGAACTTAACTACATTAAAATTTCCTATCACGCCACAAGTGTATCACCATTGGATTCTAAACCGTGTGCATTATCCACGTGTCCATTGCTGGCGTGTCCGTTGACCACAGGAGGGGTCCTCCCGGCTCGTTCGAGGGACGCGTCTGAGAGCCGCCATGCTGGAAGGTAGGAAAGGTAGCCATTGCTGTCCTTGATAGCTAGGGCTGGGTTCGGCCAGGTGTTACGGGTGCTGCCTATTGAGGTGTATCTGAGGATATAAAGGTTTATTAATGTAAAACTGTGGTCTTTATGCTGGGGTGACTGTTAGGGTGGATTCGACCAGACGAGTAAATATTATTCATAGAATAAATCGTCAGTTTTGACATATTTCCCATACTGAAACTGTCAATGTGCCAGTTATACCAGGAGTTATTTTCGGATAAAAGTTTGGTCGAATCGGGCCTTAATCGAAATATTTTGACGAGCAGTCAAAACTAGATTCTATAGATTTTGTATAGTACAACCAGATCGTGCTAACTTCTCACCTCGCTGGAATGCGAGTCTCCCTTCCAATCACCTGCACACCTACCCGTGTCCGTCCGTACCAGAGCCACAGAATAAGTAATAGTACAGGTACAGAAGGATTACTCCGCAAGACGATTTAAATAAATGCGAGTCTTGCTGCGACGCGATACAGTGGAATTCAGCTCGCACAGCACTACGTACCTACAATTTTATTCACCTACAAGTTTTGTCTCTTTCTATCGCGTGCCTCTGAACTCTTCCTACGCTGTTAGGGTTGCTGTCTAGTGAAAAAAATAATTAATCTACTTACATGTCATGAGGTACGTACCTCATGACACGTATGTATGTAAGTACGCATTCATTATGGAAAACCTTGGGAGAGGCCTTTGTCCAGCAGTGGACGTCATTTGGCTGAAACGAACGAACGCATTCTGAGCAATAGTCATGGTAGGTTAGGTTCCTATACTATCCTAAGAATTATTGATTAAAAGATAAATCCGGTAGATTTCTTTTTGAATTTAAACACCCGAACGCCGCACAATATTATTTTCTTTCTCTTCATGTCCATTTTTAAATAATACTTCGATCATAGAATTATAATCATACTACAACGCACGCCAGCGTCCTGACGGGCGCGCGCGTGACACTCGACTGATATAATACCCGCCGGCGGGGCGCTTCGCTGTAGGTAATTATCGGATGTACCGCGCGGAGTGAGCCAGGCCTGCCAGAGCGTCGATATGACGTCACGGGCGCCAGGTGCGCACTTTACTCGATCGGATTGTAGAGATTAGCTATGACGTCACATTTTTTCTAAGTCATTGTATGTCTTGAAAATATGTATTTTCAGATTGCCACCCATTATTATACATTGAGTACCTACAAGTAGCAATGCTGATCTTATTATGTATTTAAATCTTCGTTATCTACAAAACTATCATCATCGAATCACACACGTAGTGCTGTGTAATGCTGATATTGAGCTAAATCATGATAATGAACAATATTGTGATGTAACAATATTGAGTAATTTGAACTGAAGTAGCATGAGTAATGTACACATTCAGTACAAAATCAAACGTTTGTTTCGCACAAGTTGTTTTAATCTTCTTCATAATCATTGGTTTTTCCACTTAAACGCTTTAACAGCCATACCATAATCTTTGTCATTGTTTTTGGACGTTAAGACAAGCGAATAATGTTCAAAATATGGTGGGAACTATATTCCCACTGCCTTTAACATCATCATCATCATCATTTCAGCCATAGGACGTCCAGTGCGGAACATAGGCCTCCCTCAATGATTTTTATGTTGATCTATTGGTAGCGGCGACCTTGGTGGACATTCCACTGCCCTATAAAGAATTAATTAACTTACCCTCTGTCATAGAGGCTGCAGTAAGGCACGTTCCGTATAATGATGTAGCTCCAAATTTGGTGGTAGGACCAGTTGAGCAGTGGCGACACCCGCATCACTTGTGGCCAGTTTGAGTCGGTTTTCTGAAAAAAGGTTACATAATTTTTATTTTATTTTATTTTTTCGTTCATGTCAGCATCACATATGGATTGAAAAACGCATGAGAGAAATCCTCTCATTCGTTACCGTCATCGGCTCACAATTTGTACCTAAGGTAAACGTTGAGCCTCATGGGCTGTAGGGAGTCGCCACACATGAGGCTGGTTTTAGTGTCATGCGGACCGTCCGGTGCGGACCCGCACCGCACGGCCAATCTGTATGAACTTCTAGGGAGCGTTTTAGAGTAATGCGGTCCGGAGGAACCTCTCCGCTCCCTAGCAGTTCATACAAATCGGCTGTGCGGAGCGATCCGCACTGACAGTCCGGTTAGCGCCACTGTAGAGTAAGGTCCTGTCACTTGCTAGTAGCGAAGACAGTAGCACCAACTGGTGAGTGCTTAAGTGGTAGGAGGACTATCGCATTTGCACCCATCAAGATGGCGCCACTGTAGAGTAAGGTCCTGTCAATCGCCAGGGGTGCCAACTGTTAAGTATAATAATACNACGAAAAAAGTTATGACCGTATGAAAAAATTGTAGTAGTTTACGCGCTAATCTCAGGAACTACTGGTCCGATTTGAAAAAATATTTTTGTTATGGATAGCCCATTTATCAAGGATGGTTTTAGGTTATATTTCATCACCCTACAACCAATAGGGGCGGAGCAGCGACCACCCTACCACAATTCCAATATTGTTGTCTTTCTTCTGAGCTTATTTTTTTTTCTTTTAGCGAGAATCTAACACGGCACACTAAGCGACATAACATAACATCGCACGATGGATAGAATGATATCAAGAACATTTTTCAGATGAAAAGGTAAAAAACATGACTTTTCATTCAGTCATAACTTTCTACCGACACACACTGGTTCAAGAAACGATAAAAATGGAATTAGCGATTTATTCACTTTTTTCGATGGAATCATGTGTAGAATGTTATAAAAAACGTTTTGTTTAAGTTCTATTTTTCTGAGAAATGCGTAGTTTTTGCTATAATACATGTTTTGTGTTTTATTTGTATGAAACGTTTCCTTCACGAGGCTCTTATTCAAAATGTTAAAATTTGTTAAAGATGACTACTTATAGGTTTTAAAGAGTTATACTAATAGAAGCTAATACAGTAACAACTTTGTCCCAGTGCGTCCCCGTTTAGGATATAAGTGATATTTTCTAAGGTACGAAAAAGTATACAAAATATATGGATATAAGGCAACTTAATGATAATTTTTTTAATTTCTAAAATAAAAAGAAGCTAACAATCATTCCAATATTAATCATTTATTATTCAACATCATCATCAACATCTATAAACTCAAAAGTTTCATCATTATTTGAAGCTAATAAATTTTTAACTTCATTGGAAAGAGGATATTTTGGACTCGCACTCATTTTTGGTCTTATTGTTGACAAAAAATGATCCGAAGAAATAAGTTTATCATTTAAAATATCACGATTGGTCACTTTTCGGTTAAACTTACGCGTATGATTCTCTCTGATCTTTCTAAAATCTTTGTTCTGCGATTCTGCAGCTTCTTCCGATAGTGCTCCTATTGGCATAATATCTAAGTGCTTTATGATGTCACCTCCATGTATAAGAAGCTTATGCATGCTGGATGGTATGTAATACCAACCGTATAAACTGACGAACAACTCAGCGGTTTCCCATCCATATTGAGTGAGGTTTTGGTGGTTTATTTGCTCACCGGAAGCCATAGCCCATAATAATACAGACAAAATAGCGATCAGATCTTGACTAACTCCAGTGACGTTGGATGTTTTTTCTGGATCTGCAAAAAATCTACGCGCAGTATTTCCGTTGTTTGCGCGTATTTCAGCTTTTCGTTTCTCCATAATTGCTTTTTTATTTCCTCTTGCTCTCCAAGTTTTAAATTCTAGTCTATAAGCAATGTGTAATATAGTCTCCATAGCCCGTATCCATGCGTGCAATGAAGATAGGCCATTCGTGTACATATCGATATTTAAAGATCAGTTTTAATTTTGTTAAATTATTCATGTCAGTTGGTTTTGCTTTGCACTTAGATATTATGCCAATAAGAAGCTGCAGAATCGCGGAATAAAGATTTAGAAAAATCAGAGAGAATCATACGCGTAAATTTAACCGAAAAGTGACCAATCGTGATATTTTAAATAATAAACTTATTTCTTCGGATCATTTTTTGTCAACAATGAGACCAAAAATGAGTGCGAGTCCAAAATATCCTCTTCCTAATGAAGTTAAAAATTTACTAGCTTCAAATAATGATGAAACTTTTGAATTTATAGATGTTGATGATGATGTTGAATAATAAATGATTAAGATTGGAATGATTGTTAGCTTCTTTTTATTTTAGAAATTAAAAAAATTATCATTAAGTTGCCTTATATCCATATATTTTGTATACTTTTTCGTACCTTAGAAAATATCACTTATATCCTAAACGGGGACGCACTGGGACAAAGTTGTTACTGTATTAGCTTCTATTAGCATAACTCTTTAAAACCTATAAGTAGTCATCTTTAACAAATTTTAACATTTCGAATAAGAGCCTCGTGAAGGAAACGTTTCATACAAATAAAACACAAAACATGTAATGTAGCAAAAACTACACATTTCTCAGAAAAATAGAACTTAAACAAAACGTTTTTTATAACATTCTACACATGATACCATCGAAAAAAGTGAATAAATCGCTAATTCCATTTTTATCGTTTCTTGAACCAGTGTGCGACAGCATATTTTTTATTGCGGTTTGCTTATAATGAATCAGTATTTAGTAGACTATTTTACTACATAGGTCTTGTTAGTGGTGGACATTTGGACCACACTCCATACATTTTTGGTCATTGTCCTTTGGTATACTTATGTAAGTATGATGACAATGCAATGTTATGGTACAATTGAGCTGGTCTGATGATGGAGTCATGAGGTGGCCATAGGAACTCCTAAATGAAACGGCGGCATCGCATCGAATTTGGGTTCGTTAGATTTGTCTTTTCGAGCACTTTAGTACTAGATGATGTCCAGGGTCCTGATGATGGAGTCTGGAGGTGGCCATAGGAATTCCAAAACGAAACGGTGGAAACTTATCGAGTTTGGGTTCGTTGGATTTGTCTTTTCAAGCACTTTGGTGCTAAATTGTATTGTAATTAAATCAAGGCTCTGAGATTGAGGNGATAGCTCATTGCTTATAAATGACTAAAACGGGCACACTACGCGGATAATCGGTCGCTCCGATTTATATGCTTAATTTACTTTGCGGAAGATCCGCGACGGCATTTCCGTCAAGTGTGGCAACTGCCTACAGCTCATGAGGCGTAACGTTTCCAAGGTTCAAATTGAGAGCCGGTGACGGTGTGTGTATGTAGTAAGAGTTTGTAGCTTGCGTATAGTTCCAAAATACTGAACTGTCCTATCCATGACATTGACAGTGGGGCGCCACCGTCAATGCTGGATCGCTGGTTCCGATTTTTGCCATGTTGCCATATAGTTGAACGATGGTAGCGCCCCCCTGTTAATGAGTTTGGTGGGACAGTTCAGCGTGGGTCATCTATAAGACGTAGACTGTCAAATTGTATGGAAGGCTGCAGTAAAGTCGTCTCTATGCTAGTAAAACTAAAAAAATTACCTGCATAAAACGTAAGTCTTGGCTATACGGATCTGTCCGTCTCGTTCCCATAAGACAGGCTTTCAATTGTCCATCTCTGTCTAATATCCTCTGAAGTGTAGCCTTCATTTCCCCCACCTCTGTCACCATCAACGTCACACCATACCGTCGTTGCATCTCATTCACAAACTCTTCTATTTCAACAAACGGATCTTTCGTTCGGAAGTACACTACTTTTAGTCGTTTCTCTATGTTTTCTGTCTTATGTATTTCACGTAGAATGTTTATTGTTAGGTCTAGGAGAACGGTGCAGTCTTTGCCGCCGTTGAACGAGAGAAACACCTCTTCAGGTTGGTATTCTTGGAAGCATTGTCTGAGTATCTGGAAAAGAGGTAAACACAAGATTGTAAAGCGACAGTTAATCGGTTACAAAAGAGAATGATAAATTAATGAGCTTCATTAAAAAAAAAAGGTCTTTGACCCACGATGACGCATCCAAAGTTTGTGTGGATGTCTGGATGTTTTTTACTCTTTCACGCAAAAACTGCTGAACGGATTTTAATGAAACTTTACAGTATTATTGTTTATAACCCAGAATAACATAATTATAATAGCTATAAATTATGACAATCTATGACATATTAAATTTCACGCGGGTGAAGCCGCGGGCAAAAGCTAGTTATATCAATAATTGTAATTAGTTTTTTATACAGGCTGTAATTTGCGATTCTTGAGCCATAATTATGTTATTAAGTTTTTCTTCCCATGTCTCGTTCAAACTGTATAAGGTAAGTAAGTACGTATCTATAGATATCTTCAGTACTTCGCAGTCACGACTTTGAACTTTTGATCCAATAAAATTCATTTCGGAGCGTTGAAGCCAAAACAATCTATGTCACGTTTATAAGATTAAAACATATGCAAGTATTTAATTTGCTTTATTTCAATGCCGATGTATGCAAGTATTTAATTTGCTTTATTTCAAACTAGCTTTCCGCCCGCGGCTTCGCCCGCGTGGAATTTTGTCTGTCACAGAAAAACTTTATCGCGCGCGTCCCTTTTTCAAAAACCGGGATAAAAACTATCCTATGTTCTTTCCCGGGACTCAAACTATCTCTATGCCAAATTTCATCAAAATCGGTTGCGAGGTTTAAGCGGGAAAGCGTAACAGACAGACAGACAGACAGACAGACAGACAGACAGACAGACAGACAGACAGACAGACAGACAGAGTTACTTTCGCATTTATAATATTAGTTGGGATTATGTGTGGTACATAATCATACTTAATATTTTAAAGTTTTTACATCTATTTAAGAGTCAATTTTAATGTTGCTGGTCCTTCCCATGATGCATTTTTCAATTGGGTTTTCTTCATGCAATCATCATTAAGAAGCATTATAATACTATTTTTATATACTTTTTGTAATTAATAAAAGTTAGTAGTTCATAGGATTCACGCGCATCTGTGACGGCCATCCACGCAGGTCAATGACTGCTAAAATGTACAGAAAAAAAATCTAAGCGGATTAGAACCACCACTGTAAATACTGTGTAGCTAAGACTAACAGCTTTACCACCCAAACACCGAACTAGTAAAGGCTACAGAAGTACCTATAGCCAGTAGTAAAGTAAAAACTACATATACTACCCGTTCGCGCTAAGTTTGCAGGTCCGTGGAATGCGCGTCCCCTCCCCCAACCGCGATTAAACGCAATTATTTAGTGATTAAACGCAATTAATGTGTCTTATTTTACGCAAATACACAATTTTTATCAAATAATAATAAATAAAAAATATTTTAAGTATAGTTTGTTATAGTTATAGACGCTTCCCTTCGAGTGACGTCACATCGCCAGCGGCAAACTTATCGCGAACGGATAGTACTTTACCTGTTCCGATTCTTCTAACACGTCATCAATGGCAGGCAGCTCGGCGCAGACGTTCTCTCTTTTCCGCGGCATCTTTACTACTGTTGTGTAGGTATTCTGTACCAAACATACACGTAATTAATTAATCAGGTGTGTATAACGAAATTTGCATTATAAACGCTACACGGCTGTCGCTTGTTTGTTGGTTCGTCACGCACGAAACGCTTCGGTAAACTAAGTTTTGCTATGAGCCTGCGTATTGGCTGTACTATCATTACATCGTCCACATAGAGTGGTATTGTAGAGGGACCTTGAACTACAAACGTGCAGGTTTCACCAATAAAACATTTGATTATAATTATACTGTGTACTTCTTAATGAACAGTAGCTACAGTATGAAGGTATACTAAAGTTAATCAGCCACAGATCTACGATTTTTTAACTGGGGCCAAATTTTATTGTGGCGCCCCTACTAGCGATTGAGATGCAAAAAAAAAATAGAATTCTTGCGCTTCGTGAAGTGAAAAATATTTTTTTTTTCACAAACTACCCCCTTCTTTCCAATTGGTGCCCAGTTTACCCCTATAGCCGTGCCTTCGAAGTAACTTTTGTGTGGCCAAATTGGCCACATTCCTCCACATTGGGGTACTATTACTTATTCTGTGACATTGGTCTGCAAGTTAGGTCTAGGACTGCAAGTTGCTATTTTCCCAAAAATATTTCATAGTAGATGAGCGACGTTTTTTGGGGAAAAGCCGAGTGCTATTATTAGTTTTGGAGGGAAACTTAATTATATTCAAATTATTTCCGTTCTTGCCATTTCAAACTTGTTCACAGATGATTAAGTTAAACGAATTTTAAATGGTTTGTTAGTAATCAAGTGTGATAATATACAAATACCTCACAGAAGTTTAACGGAAATATTAAATTTGCGTACATTTTCATGTCTTTAAATATGGGAACAGCATAATAATAATATACTGAAATGGAAAAAATGTATATTCTTTTTTTTTAATTATCTAGGAAATAATAAAATAAGTAGGTACTAACGAAAATAAAATTAATCAAGGACATTATTTATTTTCCACATTCAATTTATTTTGAACATTCACAAAAATATACATACATTTATACATCACTTAAATTAGACACTAAAAACTTATTACAACATGTAGAAGAATATATCTTGTTTACATAGAAGAATAAACTTTCGTTTCCATAGTATTTTATACAACATTCTAAGTAAAATTTGTAATCATTAACACCAAATGTAATGTATTTTATGTAATATTGATAAACATCTGAGGTCAATGCAATATCTATAACTTTGTTAACAATAAACATTGATGTTATGTAATTTACACTACTTACAATGTAATTATTAAATCAGCAGAAATAGATAAGTTTAAGATCTGCAAGTAATTTTGATTATTAGAATAGCCAGCTGTGACACTATTTTACATGTATTTTTATGGATATGAACATACATACATAAACTATATAACTTAACATTGCCTTCTAGTATTCTTTCTCTTACTCTATTAAGTTGTGTCATTACTAAAATACATCAATAAATGCATTATTAATAATAAAACAAAGTATTTTATTCCATTTACTACATAGATAGACACTATTTACTAAATATTAAGCATAATTTTGATATCTTATAAATAAGTTTTCATAGAGCAATAAAAAAAAAGATTTTTACAATAGACTGAAATACTACGTAACCCTGGAACTCAGCAGATCTGTATGATCTCTAATCTTAATATTCATCATTTAGAATTGATCGATTCATTCACAAGAATTGATGAATTCACATTGATTAAATAAAACGTGGCCATAACAGCGAATTACACTTAAAAAGTTTCAAGTTGCTTTTTAAAATTTTTAGAATAATCATAAACATCTTTGCTCGGATACAGCAATGCAAACAGAAAGTAAAAGAAAATGTTACACATAATGAAGAAAAGAAAATGCATAATGTTATGTCAGAGGGCTGTCATAGTAGTTTGAGGGGTGGTGCGCGTCTTTTTAGCTGGAGGCTCGACTGGAGCGCAGGACTTATGGCCATCGAAAAGGATCTGTTTTGTAAGATTGAACGTCACACGCATCATCTCTTTTTTAGGGGAGACATTCCTTACATCGAATATGTCAGTTATGAAACTAGAGAGATCAAACTTCATATTCTCATTCACCATTTGTCTTGCTTCAGCTACAGAATCATCACCGATAGCAAAACAGTAAACATACACAACTATATCATAATTAAACTTATCTGTTAGTTCCTCATCTTTGAGGAGGCCTTTGAAATTCTTTAGAAATTTAACAGCCATAGCCGGCAAGTTCATTGTGACATGGATCTTTCCACTGAATTGAGTATTACGCTTGCAAAGTTTTGTTAAGTGGTCTTTGAATACATAACAAATAAAGTCTTTTCCATCCAAGTTGTATGGTTGGAATAATCTCTTATCTACTTTATTAATTTCAGCATTGTGTTTCAACCACTTGAATGAATCGGGGTTTAGGTCGTTAGCATACACTGTACACTTACGTTTAGCAGCAGGTATTGAAAACGGTCCCACCCCACAAAATACATCGAATAGCACATCACCAGGTTTCAAGAAGCCCAAGATTCTTTCGTGTTCTTTACCGAGGCGTGGATTCCAGTACACTTTTGAAAAGTCAAACTCGAATTTGCACCGATTTTCTTTGACGGACACCAAATAGTCTTCTTTTCCTGCTATCACTTCCATACTGAAGTTACGGTATGTATTGTCAATGATGTTGCTCTTGTTCACAACGGTGCGGCATGTCTTTATCTTGTCCAGCAGCACTTGACCGATTACTTGCCGGTACTCCAGCAGATGTTCTCGGAGATTGAGATGTATAATGTGGCCAATTTGGGAGTAGCCACTGATGACCTCTTCATCTTCTGGCAGGACAGCCTTAAATATGGTGTCATAGCTCCAATTTTCATAACCCAATTGCACTTCCTCCGAAGTAAGATTCTTTTCAGTTACGCCAAACTGTTGCAGAACGTTTCGGGATTCTTCATCTATGTCCTTCCATTGAGTAACCTTTTCAGGATGCAAGTATATGCATTTGTTGAATGACGAATTTGCTTGTAAGTCCATTATCGGCTTGAAGTTTTCTATTTTCAAGATATACGGTCTGCACTGTTTAAATATTATTGAAAGATTCTCCTCCTTCAAGTACAGGACGGGCACTTGAATATTACGCAAGAATTTCTCACGGTCTAGCACTTTCATCCCGCGCACACCGACCGGCGCCAACGAAGGTTGACTCGAGGAACTCATTTTACGAAAAAACTCGCGGAAAATAGACATTTTTCACAAAATTATGACGCATGTAACGTGTATAGTAGTGCAACAGATACTAACCTATTTACAGGTCAAAAGGTTGCAGTTCTTCTAGTTGTTTGTTTGCGTCCTTCTTTATTATCTTCTTCACAATCAGTTAAAGCATGAATATTCAACATTTATCACATGATTTTCATTTTGAACGACGAAATAATGGAAGAAAATTACAGATCGAACTTGTCAATTTCATTGAAGTTTTGCTGTCATTGAAACGTCAATGTCAAAAAGTTTTTTTTTAATTTTGATGTTTTACGGCTCTGAGTTAGTTAAGCCTTGATATTCCAATGCCAATAAAAGTGGTTGACGATGACGAAGAAGTTTGTTGAGAAAATATTACTATAAATTACTTGCTCAGTGCTTTAACGTCCGTTCCAGCCCACTCGACTCCCTATAAAACCAAACTAAACTACCTAACACAAAACTGCCGCCGTTAGCGCCATCTGCGAAAAGCTTTGCTTAGAACCGGGCCTTCCGGTTCCGGGATAAGTAATAATAGCAATAAAAACGTTTATTGCTTTTTATACATAAAAGGAATTACAAGAAACAAAATTACATTATTAAAGTAGTCCTGAATGCCTTTTTTGGCTCTGAATTCCAAGGCATTTCCAAAAATTTACTTAACATATTAAAATAAATAGATGATACAAATATAGGCAGGTTTTTACCACACGATTTTAAACAAAACTAGATCCTATATACATATACGAGTATTCCTAAAAGAACTTATTAGTAAAGGTTTACCAAACAGTATAATATTTTGTATCTAATTAGTGTTATTAACATTAATAACTAGATGACGTGGAGATCCTCATTAATAGTCTATTGTAACAGGACGGTTTAATTAATTCCTCTGCGATAAATGCGTGGTGCATTCACATTGAGAAACGTTCGATATCTAAGTAATTCAGTAAGTGAATAATACGAGCGAGCGGGGTCTCTAGCTCCATCAATTAATCATTTGTTAAATAGACTTCGGATTAAATTGAAGTTGGGAGTCTACATGGAATTCGTACGAGTGAATCACTGTTTTGATGAACTTAAGATTCTGTTGGATCATTGTTACTTAAACGGTTAGAAATTTTCGTAAATATTCGGAAACAAAGCACTCTGGGCTAGATGTGTATGTCAATAATTCATAATTGTTTAAGGATGAAAAGCAAATATAAATTAATTACTAGTTTTACTTTCTTATTTTCTAGTGGTGCTCTATGTTGTATAACACTCATTGTTTGACTATTGTGTGAGTCGATTCCCTGCGCCACTACGCCATCGGGCTATGCCAATCTCCTTTGAAACGAAAATGCTCCGAAACTGTGATTGAGTTCCCCTTACAAAAGATTAATTAAGAGATACAGGCTATTGAGGGCCATAAAACCGCCCGTGCTGTTGACCTTACACTTCAGTAATCCTGAATAAAACGAAGGATTCGTTGAAAACCTCACGTTTTAAAAATAGAACGTAAAAACCGTTGACTGTGTTTGTATTTCTCTCGGCGGAGTGCGCGGTAGTATAAGATCGAATGCACGTAATAATGGTTTTACTACCCGCGTAACGGTGATGAGCCGCGTGCCGTTGTGAGAATTGCTCACGTATACTGCATATTTTCTTAAGTTTGTGCGAGTATTGTTCTCATACAGACGCGTTAGCTTGGGTACCTACACACTTAAAACACTCTTCAGGGAATATTTCAGATTGGGAAAGATGTAAATTCTTATGTAGTATGTAGAGACGACCGGCACGTCAAGCTAAATACTGTATTATCTTATGTAGCTGTGGTGATAATGATTTTCGTCGTGAGAGGATAAGAAAATACATTTGCTGAATATAAACTTGAAATTTATTTTTGGTGACTCAATTTCTCTGAAGGTGTACCGTGTAAAACAGGAATTCCAGTATTCACGGGCTACGGAAGCGGTGTTCTGGGAGCGAATAGCGACCGCCCATTATCGATACTGGCTGGAAATAAAACCAGCCATTTGCAGATATTCCGGAAACCCACCGATGGCTTGTGGCTGCCTTGGGAACCATACAACCCGTTTAAAAAGCGATGGGGTGCGCTCACTCAATTTAGTTTTATGCACTTGTACAGAGGTTTATAGCACAATAAAGGTTGGAAGGCGTACGGCTGAAGGTAAACGAAACTATTTTATTTAATTAATACCACGAGATAAGCTGTGGTTGAGGTGGGTAGAGGTGAGGTGGCACGGTAGAGGCATACTGATTTTTAAAAATTTAGCGGTAAATGAAAGTGTTTTTAGGAATTATTTACAAAGGCGTTTATGGACATGCGTGAGATGCTTAAGCTCTACGTTTTATTGGAAAATCACACCTTACTACAACTTAGCTACCAAAAGCTAGCAAACACAGTAGAACAATAAAACGAGTGTGAACTAACAAGGTAGGTACTAGGTACTGTATTTAAACTGTTAAATAAAATAAAACTGTCGATACACAGCATCAAATAAACCGTGTGTGTTACGTGACAGAGGCAACTGGCATCAGCTCAGGGAAATGACGCCTATATCCGCTGAGCGGCGACAAATATGGCCTGACCGCTAAGTGTTTTGCATTGCCTTTGCCGGCGGCCTGGTGAGGCCCAGTTGCACTGAGATACTTTGAAAAGAGCCACGGACGAATGACCAGGTTAGGATAATAACTTGCGGCGGCTGACACTTTCGGATTTTAGAGAGAGTCCCACAATATCCACTGGCCGTCCCCATCGACGGAAAAAAGGATGCTTTAGAAAAATATTTAGTTGCACGATTTTTCCAACTGCAGATCCTGGCCAAAAGTACAGCTTTTTGGACTTAGAGTTGTAAGTCGTAAGAAGAAACCAAAAAATGGTAATTGATAGTTAACATACCTTGGTTTTAACCCTTAACTGCATGGATGGCCAAATTACTAAAACTTTGGAAACCCTTTTTTCACTTAATTACTGCAGAGAACTGCAAATATTATTACTTCGTTATGTAAATCGATCGAGAACAATCGAGAAAAATCAATCAAGAAGAGAGCTACGAAAAACTACTGTAAGCTACTATTGCAGTACGTATACTATCCCCAGTCTGTTTTTATTTTGTGGTGTTCAGATAGTCATTCAGGCACAGCAGCAGAGTAAATACAAATGAGTAGGTCATCTTCATAGAAACGCCCGAGCGCGGTTTGTATGTGAGCGCGCCAATACGTATGCGGCGCGCACGCACACACTGACAAAATTTAGCGTGGATTAGCGGTGAGGTGCACATACAAACCGCGCTCGGTGCGTTTCTATGAAGATGACCTACTCATTTGTATTTACTCTGACGGTAGCCAAGTGAGGTAAGGACCTATCGGGCTATCAGCGCTGCTGAAATAGCGATTCGATGTAGATTGACGCTTCGGATGTCGGAATGTGGGATCGAGCTTTGATTTACATTCACTCTACCGTGGGTTTATATCGACATTTGTTCCCACGTAAAGTAGAGGCAATAACTTTTTTAATTTACTTTAAAATTTCTATTTTACTAGACTTACGTCATGTCGATCTATGGGCGCAATTTGGTTTCAACTTGACTTTCTTCCAGCCCCCCTAGACAAAACGCACTTTTTGATCGAATCGAAAATCGAATCCGTCAAAACTCCATACAAAAAAGGGGCTTTGCGACTGGTTTGCGATTATAATTTGCACTAGACCCACAGCCCCCCTAGACAAAACGCACTTTTTGATCGAATCGAAAATCGAATCCGTCAAATTCCATACAAAAAAGGGGCTTTTCGACCACTTTTCGACTGGTTTGCGATTATAATGGCACTTTGTCTAGACCCACTGGTGTTCATTTGTCATAACATCATCGCTACACCATAGAGTTTGCTAAATTATTTATGACATGTATAACAAAAGGTAGTTAATTAGCTAATATTAATGCACGTGGAGTCGTGCACGTATTAAATGTTACAAAAATATTATTCTACTACCTACTCAAAACTATGAAATTTCGCGTAGTGTTTTTCCGCATCTATTCTGTGAATTTATTAAAACATTGTTAACCGCCGTTCAAAATGTCCCGTAATAAATACACGTTTGTTTCAGCCACAAACATTCATATGTTAATTTGTTCGACAAACCGCAAAGATAATAAAAAAGCGAATAATTTTATAATTTACACGTTGACTCTACCAATTCAGCGAGCGTTACGGTAAATGAAAATTTCAAAAATAAATATTGGGCAAACGGAAACAAACGTTCGGAGCGAACAGAAATAAATTACATCAATCCAACAAATTGACGATTGAATTTGCGCAAAAGGGATAAATAAGTTACGGATTTTAATCGCGAATAAATTCGGTAAGGTTTAAAGTGGACAACCTTTGCAAATTAAGACGTATTTGGGTGTAATCTGGCACCTGTTGTTTGTAGGATGCGGCAATTTCCATCGGAAAGAAGATAGCATAAAAGCTCATATTGAGTGACAAACGTTCGTTTACTTGACAAAAATTATGCGTCGTTACGTATCACGCCTGTTACCGACTAACGCGGACATGTATTTCGCGGAAGAAAATTCCTTACCCACTAAAAACCTCCGCATATTTCCTCAGAAAGGTATTGGCGGGACGTACGGGTACGCACTCCATCAAGCAACTACGAGTAGGTATATTGAAAGATTTAATAAACCATTAGGCATCTGACATACATAGAAACTTCTATATCTAAACTGACTACATAAACTTTAACCTAACCAAAACACTAAATTGGTTTGCAACTTTTATTCCAACGCAGTTATGATACAATTTTTGACTTGATTGACTCGAGATGCGAGGAACGCGGGTTCGAATCCCACTGCCGCTCGACTATTGTGGTGAGCCCACTCATAACACAAGCTCATTTAGCTTAACACGAGGGGCTAACGAGACTATTAGTAATTTGTGGAATACAAAATGCTAATAGTTCACTTAAAAAAAAATCCGTGCAGTGCAAAAGTCTTGTTCGATAGTAGAGCCCTATCATTGACTTTCATGGCGCACCTACCACTTACGGGCGAGTGTACCTAAGTGATTTAAACTACTGGCCGCGGTAATATTCTGATAACTGCTTTACGATGTCTTAACGGCCTCTTTTGCATAATGTAGGATATCGCAGGGTTAATAGAGTAATTCAGCTCAATTTGGTGCTTCGTAGACAGGATTTGTGGTTGAGTCGGGTGTCTTAACACTCTAGTGGTTC